ACTGAAAGTTCACAGCTTCTGCTTTAACACTGAAGTTCTGTTGCAACATTTCAACAATGAGATTTCACAACATTATGGTCCTTAAAGACAAATTGCACCAGATGTACAAAAGCGTCAGGGAAAAGGGAATGGAAAGTTGTATTTGTATTTTTTGTGTATGATATGAAGGGGAAAAGGTTGGATAAGAACAGCTGGGAAGACCGCTTGCCTGCAAACACACAGGGCAAGATCCTGCTATATTTGCACACAATTAGCAACACCTACTTGCCTGTGAAATACCCAAGTTTTAATAGTCCTACTGGCAAACAGAAATAGTCTTGCTGGTGGAAAAGTGTAGTGAATATGTGGCCACAAATTATGTAGTGTCATTCTTATATTTTTTTCTAGAGTATTCAAAGTACCATTTTAAAAAATTTGCATAAAAGCCAGCAAATAGTTTCTTGGATGTCCTTGCAGAGCATATTCTAATTTTTTCAGATTAAAAAAATCAATGATACTTTTTATTTTGTCACACTGAATGTTTGTACCTGATGTTTTTGTTCTAGGCATAATACTGTGCAAGCAAACCTAAAAATTGTGACCACCAGTGGACCTTTCCTGAATTAACAATAATAAGAAGAAATCAAAATCATTATTAATTTTCCAACATGTATCTAAATAATCTAAATACAACAGCAAATACTGAAGGTTTTAAAATCTCAAGGATATTTAAATTTAGGTTTTATATTTTTGCTTCCTGTTAAATATTATTTACTTCTTTTTCTGTATTGTGTTTGAAATAGGAAATTGAGTTCTGATATCCAAGACAATGAGTGGTTATGTTCTCTACAATTAGCTTGTCTAATACTTTATCTCAAAAAACTATTTGATTAGAGTTTAAAATAGACTGACAGAAAATTTTAACTCATCTACTGGTATAAATGCTCCCACAGAGTCTCAAAAATAAGATTTAAAGAAGCAGTATATTTCTCTAAGGGACTTCATGTCCTCTGACACCTGCACAGGCTGAGAAATTCCTGTATGTACTGCTGCATATTCAGACACAGTCTCTTTACCAAAGCTGGTTTCTCCTACTCATAATTTGCAGAGGTATTTTGTTGTTTACAGATACAGAATTATAGTTCAGTGAGTATGTGTAGAGTATGAGACTCTTGCAAAAGCAGACAGTTCACCTTGAGACAGTGCTGTTGACAGGTGAAAAAGTCTTTCCACATTTGGAAAATGATGGCTCAAGAAGAACTGTAAAAGTGTGTTAGATTTAGAGAAATTTTATCTACATTTATAATATTTATATTAAAAAAACTACATGGGCAAAATCATTAAATTTCATGTGATTGATGTAGACCATTCTGAGGTGGAGAAGGAGAAGAAACAGTAAGTAATTAACTGATTTATTCCCTTGTTATTGCAACATTAATTGAATTTTATGTTTTATACAGAACTTTCAGTCAAACACTATTTGTTGACTGATTGATTTATTAGTATTTTATTTCTTTATGAGCATACACCTACACAAATTTTGTAATGAAAATCGGTATATTTTAACATGTGGTTGCTATAATATATACACGCTACGTATTTAACAATATATGTAATTTCAAAACCATATTAGTCAAAATAATGCCAAAGGTTAGTAAATCATTTTACAGGTTGGATATTTTAGACTTACACAAAACTCAGCAATTTTTTTTTTCTTTGGCTTTTCCTAAATGCCAAATCTCAGTCTACTTCTTGTATTAATTTTGTCTTCCGAAAAGTTGGGTTTAGAACGAAGTTTTTCTGTAAGAGCCCCAGTAAGTTCTTTCCTTAATCAGTAGTATCAGGAGTATTTCATTTAATTATTAATTTCTTTTCTTCTTATCAGATTATATTTAATTCAATTATAGTATTCTAATGTAGTAGTAAAGTGAATTTCAACCTGTGATCTGTGGGGCCTCATGGACTTCTGTCATAAGCAAATGCAATCATGAAAAACAAGTTTATTTTCAGTAAGATAGACTTTTATAGTAGTTCAACTCATTTTGGAGAATTCGTAGCAGTCTTCAGAGGAAAGGAGGTAGAAAACCTCGATGTTAGTGGTTAGGTACTTGAAGGTATAAGTGACTTACAATAATGATGTAAACTATTAATAAGCTAATAGAAAAAATAAAGGTATTTTGTGCTACTCAGTGCTATTTCAAAGCAAGAACAGAGAAAGTGCAAACAGGCTATGGTAGGCTTCTGTCAAACTTCTAATGCTTGTGATAGGATCTCTTTAACTCTTCCTGTCAGTGAGGTTTCAGTAGTCCTTAGGGATTATTATTACAGATAGAAGAAAATGGAATAGTGTATCTGATATGTATACTGTGCAAACAGATTGTAAGAAGATAAACATACTGAAGTTGGTTTTGCACCATTCAGGAAGCCCTTATTCTGAATGAGATCTAGTGCTTTTCCATAGACACATCATCCTACGGAAGAAGCAGTACAAAAAGGAGAAAAGAAATAAGATTCTCTGGCATTGCATCGTATATACTTATACACTTCTGCAAAACCGAATGCTAAGTGGAATACATGAAATAATGTCAAGTCAGAAAAATAATTTTATCCCAGTCTTGACATCTTCTGTAGTGAAGATGGCTATATATCAAACTAGAAGGACTTGTTTGTCAAAAATTCGTTTCATTTCACCCAAATTTGTTTGTTGGTTTAAAAAAGATACCACCTCTCCCTGGCAACCTTTTCTTCTTTATGTGGTGATAGGTAGTAGAGAATCAATCTTTTTGTGTAGCTTTCTGACTATATATAATTCTTATGGAAAGCTTATCTTACCATAAATAGATTCATCTGTCATTCACATGCTTCTGCCAATGATAACCAAATGTTGCACCTGCTGAAGGATGGGAAAGTATCCAAAAGCAGGTGGCAGAGAAGTAGTGTTAGGCTGGCTCATGCCATCAAATCAGCATTAAAATATCACATTATCTGTCAAACAACTTACATTTTTAAGGTTTAAAATAAATGTCTTTGTATGTTTAATAGGAGATTAAAATAATAAAATATGACTATTTCTTGTGAAGTTCAGCTCATCTGAATGACCTGATCATCTTGGCTCTTTTTATAGTGAATGAAGAGAGATAGACCTTTTTAAAATTGCACAGTTCATCCAATCTATTTTAGGTATCTACTTTAGGATGAGATTAATCATACCCCATAAGTTACTATTAACTCTAAAAGGCAAACAACTGGTTTCATATAATTGATCCTGAGACCTAGTTAAAATGAATGCTACCCCTTTTTTCTGGAAACTGAGTGTCTTCGCTTGTTTCTTTATTTTATCAGCAAAGAGAAGTTGCAGAGTTGTGCAAATATTCACATGGAAACAATCTTTTAGCAAAAGGATAGTGATAAATCTCTATAATAGATTTGTACTGTGTGTGATTATAGATACTTCTGACACATAGGTTACGTCTCTGTTAGTAAACCAAGCATTGTCAGGGTGTGAGTGTGAGTACGGGAAAGTGGTTGTCTAGATTGCTGAAATGTTCGAGTAAATGCTAGCGTGCTCCTAGCTGGGGTTGTCTAGCAGTCTCCCAAACAATCTCAGGCATAACATAGTAGATGGCGTGAGCTAAACGCCCTGGAAGTGGCTTGTAGACAGCCGTGCTCTTTTGAAGGGTAATTGAAGTGCATGGCCGTGGTCAGAGCATTCTCATTGGTCTTGGGGCTTGATGTTTTTTAAGATACTAGCACAGATGCAGTGTCTATGTGGTGGAACAGCAGTCTATATTTTTTTTATCTTTTTTTTTGGGGGGGGGAGTGGGAAGGAACACATTCCTTTTCCCTAAGTCCGGATACTTCAAATCCTGATGCCTGATTCTCTCCTAATTAGTGAAGGACCTCATAGAATCAATCATAGAGTGGTTTGGGTTGAAGGGACCTTAAGATGATCTAGTACTGACCCCCTTGCCATGGGCAGGGACACCTTCCACTAGACCAGGTTGCTCAAAGCCCCATCCAACCTGGCCTTGAACACTGCCAGGGATGGGGCAGCCACAGCTTCTCCGAGCAACCTCATGTAAAGAACGAACTGAAAACAGCAAGCTGAAGGGAAGACCAGCCACCTGATTCAGAACCACTTAATGAAGCTGTTCAGTAAAATAAGGACAGCAAAGTGGAATCCATTTGTAGAGTCAGATTTACTTTCTTTGGCTGGGAACATGAGAATAATAAAGGAAGAATCCACAAAGAAGAATCTGGGCTTGAGAAAGATGAATTTGGAACCACTGTTTTTATTGCTTCAAGAACTGGACCCCAAGCCAAAAGGAGTGCATATTTACATTTCAGCAATGGTATATGGAAAAAATGCAGAGAAGAAAGGGTAAAATGTGGAAAGAATTTTAACTGCTCAGACTAGAACTGCTCTTTCTAAGGAGCAGAGGGGGTGCTGCTTCTCCGATTCAGCATGTTAATAGGCTAAAAAGGGCAATGCTAATAGAAAATGAGTGTAGGAGTATTTCTTCGTTTCAGCAGAGAAGAAACTGAAGCCATGCTGTCTTGACACTAGGATGGATGAAATAACGTTTGCATTTTTCTTCCTGAGTTACCACTATGGTCTGTTGGGTTCAATATGGACGTTAGATGAGGAAGTGAAGCTCGCACTTAGTGGCAAGTACAGGGTCAGGAATTCCTTTTCTCTGAATAAAAAAGAATGGAAGACTAGAAGTGTTACAAATTAATACATTGCTCCCTAATCTCTTTTAGAATAGTGTAGATTAATAGGCTTTCTTCAATAAACTAATGCCATAATCAAATACCTAATTAATAATTAGTTCTTGGTGTTTTCATTTCTGATTTACCCAAATTATATGTAATTTATCTTTGATCACTGTAGATACATCTACTCTAAATGAATCATGGGAATATAATTTGCATCAAGATCAGATTCACTGGCATTATATTTTATTTGACATTTTATATATCTATGTCTTTTTTTCTTCTTTTCTCATTTCTGTTTGCAGGTTTTGACCTTGTGAAGTGTGAAGATCCTGGCATACCAAATTATGGCTACAAGATCCGAGATGAAGGACATTTTATAGACACTGTCATTTTATACAGCTGTAATCCTGGCTATACAATGCATGGTAGTAGCATTATGACCTGCTTAAGTGGAGATCGAAGAGTGTGGGACAAACCTTTGCCTACTTGCATAGGTAATACGGGTTGTGGCAATGAAAGATTTTGGTCTGGTGTTTCAAGAAAAAAAGCAACAAATACTCTGTCTTTCTATACTTCATGATGTGATAATGGTGTAAACATATTTTAAAGTGAAGATTTAATGTGGACATCCAAGTGTAATGCCTGTGAAATAGATGGCTGGCCATTAATGGCTACAAAATGCAAGGAAACACTTCTTTCCATAGGGCAGACTTTGATGAAAGACTGCTGCTTTGATTCTGATGATATCATGGGTCACTGAGACTGGTATGCTATTACAGGCAGTGGTATTGTCAAACACTTCACAAGCTAACCAAACCCCATCATAAAGCAAGTAAAGATTTTTTTCATTTTTTTTTTTAACCTTACCTGTTTTCATCAGAAATTACTGATTTTTAATTTTCATCCCACACCAGTGGGTTGTTTTATCTGTGTGCTCTTGAGTCACTGTGGCCATGATAGAATACCACATCTGTCAGTCTTGAAGTAGAACTTTTCTTTAAATATCACGTCTTCAAGTATCTAAAACTGTTTCATTACAACCAGCGTAAACATTAAATAGAGAAGTACTAGGTGAGATGCATAGAATAACTGCACAGCAGTATAACTATTGCCTATTGTACCTTTGCAGGGCAGTTTCTCTCCTCCAGTGTTTCTTTCCAGTCCAGCAATTAGCAGTGATTTTCTGTCACTTTCTGAGTTCAAGTTTCACATGAAATTCTCATGAGGCCTTGGGAAAGTCTTTCTTTCCATGTATCTTCTGATACTTAGTGTTTGTCTCTGCTGCCTGCAGTGGGCAGGCCACCAACTGCTTTCAGAACTCACCTGACTGCAGGATCCCTGCTTGTTGCCTTCTCCCATATTGGGTGTTACGTTCTCCATTCCAATGGCGGCTTCCTGCTAAACACATCCACAGATCTACAGAGGAGCAAGTTCCTTTCAAAAGTTCAGCTTACCCAGAGGGTAAATGCCAGCAAAACATCAGTGAACAGCATTTCTGCTGTCTTAGTAGAACTCTTGATTCTAGAATTATATCTGTAAGTTTCCTCTTACATATTTTACAGGTCAAAACAACTCTTTCCAGTTTTGATTTAAGGACTTCTGCAGGCCTTTTAAACATTCAAGTCCTCAAGTTCTTCGGTTAATTGGCTAGCGTCCTTTTCCTCTAAGTTTGCCCTTTTGTAAAGAAGAGCCATAATTAGTCCTACCTATGCCTATCTCCCAATTTAATTTAAAAGAAGTCATTACTCTAAGGTCATTTTCTGTAATATTTTCTTTGTCTGTGTTCACTATAACATAAGCATTTGGATCACTTCTAAAATACTTGTTGGTTTAAAGTTTATTAGGTGAATAAATCCAGCCATCTACCTATTTCCTTAGTATGATGATTTGCCCTCTAATATAATCTATATGTGGGATGCTCACATCTCAGCCATCCAGTATTTAAAAAGAAATAAAAAATCATGTATATTTCAGTCTGACCTGGATGAAGGTAGGGAATGCAGGATTAAGTGAATCTAAAGAAACATCCCATCTTTGCTCCTGAAGAACATCTTTTGTAACACTTCTCCAACATATTTTTGACCAGTATGTATATTTTTAAATGCTTACTTTATTTAGTTTACTGCCTCACCTATCACGTAATGCTCCTTCCATTCCCATATCTCTACCTGTATTTCCAGTTTTCTTGTTAACAGTATACTTTTAAGTATCTATCGTCCACTTACAATTGCTGCTCAATTTGTTATTATTATTGTTATTGTTATTATTATCATTATCATCATCATTGTCATTGTTATTAGATTTTGTCCCTTGCCTTACTAGATTTGGTTTCTGTATTTTGTTGCTAAGCTTTTGGAATCACTTGTACCATCTTGGGGATTCTACTTCATCTGTAAATAAAATTATGTCCTGATACCAATAGAATAGTCAATTTTCAGTATCCTGAGACAAACCTTTTTCTTGCATTCTGTCCATTCAACCACAAAGCTATCTTTCTGTATATCTTCATGTCTTTACATACCTTTTTATTTGCTGTCCTTATTCCTATCTTTAAAATCTGATTTGGCAATTTCGTCAGTTTTGTATAAGCTCCCTCTTGCCCTTTCTCAACTTAAAACTGTTCTGAAATACTAATTTTTTCCATAAGAAGTCAAATGTTCACCATTCTCTCTAAAAATTTTCTAAAGGGGTACCTTCTAAACAGCCTTTCACAAACATTCATTAGATTATGTTTTTTTCTACTGTTCTGGGCACAGGAAAACTTGTCATGAAGAACTCTGAAAACTCAGTTAAGCATCTGCAAGTCATTTCATGCTTTTTTTTTCCCCGCTTCCAGTGTTATTTATATAATCTTTTCTTCCTTCAGTTTTATCTTATGCTGTCACAGTTTTATCTCTTCCTACTTTCATTTGACAGGCTTTCTTTTCTTCCTTTTTTTTTAAGTTGTCATGAACTTCCAAACATGACTTACTTTCTCAGTCATATTTCCTTAATACTCTCCTGTTTGCAGAGACCTATTCTTTTTTGCTTGTGTTTTAGATTACCGTTTGATATTTGCTATTCTGTCCAGTGACAATTAAATTCATCATTGTCTTTACAATCATTTCATTCACAAAAAACTTTCAAGCCCATACATAAACATATTGCATATATTCTACACCTCATTTTCAGCCATACACTAGTATATTGGTCTTAACATTAATTTACATTTTTCTGTGTTCCTTAATGAACATGTTTTATATTCCTTAATGTTCCTTAAGCCTTAATGAAGAAAACCATTGAATTATTTTAATTTCTTCTCTAGAATATTATAGAACTTTCTTGAATATAATCAATATTTATCACTTTATCACTTAATCACTTTATTAGTTGTAGTATATTTATTCCTTATATAGTATATTCTTTGAGGTGATGATTTTACAGTGCATATTGAAAAACATCTACGCATATTGAAAAACTTTGGATTTTTTGTTATAATTACTTTGGAAAGTTTACTTCTGATATGCTCCTAATATAGATATTTATTTTTTTTAGCATATATGAACTATATAATGCATCATCCCAAATTTTATCATGTATTCTGTTTCTAAATGTCTCCTATCTGTCAATTAGTTTGAGTTTAAATATTTTTGGCTAAACTAGGTTTATTGAGTTATTTGCTAAATATGGTAGTGTATCAGTAATTTCTTCATCTGTAGTTAGCTATCACAATGACTATTGCATTCTGAACTTACTTGTATAATAAAAATTAACTGAAATATTAAGCAAAGGTCATGTTTGAAGAAATTAAATGCTAAAGCAACTTTCTGCTGTTGATCTATAAATAATATGTAGTGTGTTGAATGATCAAAACAGCAGAATAAGTAAGTAAATCAGTCACCTCGTTTCTTCTTCAGATATTAACCTTCCTGGTAACAGTTTGGTTGTAAGTAGTAAGTAACTTGGTGCCATGTATTAGAGTTATTATTTGTTAAGAGCATTGCTGATAGATCATTCAGTTAAAATGCCATGGTTCTTTCATCATCAGTGTCCTTCATTATCCTTGCTGTACAGCTGCACTTGAAGAGTTCCCCACGATAGCAGTTTTTAATACTGCTGCTTGTAAGGCAGCACTGTAAATGAAACAGGAATTCAGGTACATCACTTAACTGAAGAGTTACTGATTATAGAATCATAGAGGGGTTGGTTTGGAAGTGACCTTAAAGGTCATCTAGTTCCAGCCGCCCTGCCATGGGCAGGGACACTTTCCACTAGACCAGGTTGCTCAAAGCCCTGTCCATCCTGGCCTTGAACACTTCCAGGGATGGGACAGCCACAGCTTCTGGGCACCCTGTTCCACCCTCACAGTTAAGAATTTCTTCCTAATATCCAATCTCAATCTACCCTCTGATCTTTTTTGGTTCAGTGACATCTGACTATAACACAGTTCCAGTTTCATCAGTGTGCATCTTTATACTGGCCAGACAACAGCATGATGCTCTAAACAAGCAATGTCAGAATCATATGATTCTAGATGCTTAGCACTGCAATTGGTCTCTCTGCAAAGCTAAGATAGCATTGATAATAAAAATGTTTTAAACCACTCTGCATACTTTCAAATCACTGATTTCTGGTTTACTCTCTCTGTGGGCATATGGCATTTAAATTTTTGAATAATAAAGAAAATGACTTTACATTACCAAACATCTTTCTGATATAATTAAAATCATATAGAAGAAACCTGAAAGCATTAAATTTAAGGCATTTTGACAACAGAACAAAGAAAGTGGTTTTAATCCAACACTCTATTTCTGAATTTGAGCATTTAGTGTATTACTTAGAAGAGCCAAACATCTTAGATGGGATATTTCTGAAGTGTTTTTGCTCTCTCGCTGATACTAAAATTGTGCTTTTGTAGTCTCAGTTTGTATCAAGCTATTCTTGTTGGTAAAATAACGTAAGCACAGAAGTATGGTTTATTGCTTTATAACAAGGTAGAAATGAGAACATCGTATGCGCATTTTTAACTCCTGTAGCTGTCCTGGTTTATAGGTATGTGTATTACATCAGACAAATCAGGTCAGTCTGTTACCTTTTTAGAAGACAAAGAGATTTGGAATGGACAAAAAATGCAAGTGAAAAATGTTATGATCTTGTTAAAAATAAATGTAATCCTTACTTGTTTTGTAGCTGAGTGTGGTGGTCGAATTCATGCTGCTACATCAGGGCGCATTTTGTCCCCTGGTTACCCAGCACCATATGACAACAATCTTCATTGCACTTGGATTATCGAAGCAGATCCAGGAAAGACGATAAGGTACATGCTTAATTTCAATATTTATTGTTGACTTCAGTATTTTATAAATTATAGGCTGTGTCTTATATTTGTACACTCTTCCCCACAAGCTGCAGTGGGGGAGACAAGGCACCCTTCTATAAGGTGGCCAGGGTTTGCCAGGGTTGCTTGCCTGTTCAGGTGTAAAATCCCAGGTTTTGGGACATGGTAAATGCCCTAGGAACCTGCCCAAATCCTTCCACGCGCCCAGCCACCCAGACACCAGCTGCCTCAGGGTACATTTCAGTATTGCCTCGCACAAAAGTTGTCTTGTCTTACACCAGGACGAGACCAAATTCCACAAGCCCCATAATATGCTAACAGGGTTAATTAGTAGTATTACACAACACACAGAGGGTGAACAAGGACCTCGGGAACCTACATAATAGAAACATCCATGTCAGTCATGGACAAGAAGGAGATGTATTCCCTCATCCTCTCCACAGGACAGCTCCCCCAGCACAGTGAGGCCACCAGTGCCAGGGCAAAGCACACAGAAATTTTTTGTATTGAAGTGTTCCCAAGATCAGCAAAATAAAGAGGTATGCAGTGCAGCCAGCAAATTTCATGACTGACACAGGAGCTTGCCACTTAATAAAGGTTACACCTGTAGTATGCTTAATAAAAAAGTGCTGTCTTGAGGCCCACATCACATGCTAAAAAGGATGCTGGTGGGTTGACCTTGGCTGGACACCAGGTACCAACAAAGCTGCTCTATCACTGCCCTCCTCAGCAGGACACTGCTCAGCTGTAGCCAGAACAGCAGTGTGTTATCAGCATCTTTCTAGCTACCGGTACAAATCACAGCACTATGAGGGCTGCTATGGGGAAAATTGACACCATCTCAGCCAGAACCATTACAGCTGTCAACTGTGGTTTCAGAATTCTTCCCTTGAGTCACTGTAATGCCATTATTTATATCTTAGTGTCACATTCAATGTGATAATCAGTTTTAAATCAAATATAATTGTTCAACAGTATTTCTTAAATTTATTACCTCAAGCAACCGTAAAGTTCCTGACTCTCTGCCAAGAAAGCACAGACCTCAGACATCTTAGACCTTGTTGGGTATCTGTTAGGAACTGTCTTTTTGTCATGAATGCTTTGATCTGATGAAGATTTGACAAGCAACAGCAACAGTAGAGAAGATTAGATGATATAAAGGTTTATATTCAACGCTGAAGGGTTTTCACTTTCCATTCCTGCTCTCTTCCGTCGTATCATTTATGTATTTAACATTTTGAATTGTGTAAGTATCAGACTTTTTCCCCATAATTATTTGAATAATGAGACCAGTAACATCTCAGAAGAAATAGACAATAATCAAATTTGAGAAAGAATAAGAGATTTTAATAAGAGGTGCGGACAAGTCTGAGAGAATGCTTAATAAGTGAAGACTGGAAGATTTCTCCACATAGGGTAGGCCACATGACAGAAAAGGGAAGAAATTAGAAGAACACAGAAAATGAGGGACACAAAACTGGTGATTAATGCATGAAATAAAGTTACATGTCAAGGACTGAATGATGGAATCTAGAGCTTTTATTTCTAAAATGTTATATGGAAAGATGATGGAAGGATTCCAGAACTCAGGCAGAAGGAAATTAGTAGCACGAGAAGACCTTTTAAAGTAGTTTTTCCTCATCTCTTTGGCATAGTGACAAGAAAGACTATCATACTTTGCTGTTGATGTATAGCTAAATCACTCAAGTGGAAGAAATACCAATATTTAAAGACTCTTTCAGCTCAGTTTTGCTGTAGTAACAAAGATTCAAAACCTTTGAAATGACATATTCTGTTCAATATTCAAGATGGTCTGTCCACTCCTAAGAGGATGTTGCTGTGAAAGCAAGAACGTAACAGAAACGTTTAACTTCTAATTGAGAGAGATGATCTTAATTTCTGACACTTTAAAGTAATCTATTCATACTAATATGCCTAATGTTATGCAACAGATGCTAGTTTTAGGATTACAGCATAGAGTAGATACTTCCATCTACTTGATAGAAGTATATGATTTCCAGTAAACATGTTACTTCAGAATAGTAGCTATTTTTTTGTTTTGACCAAATAGGAAGCTGTTTCATTATTCATTTATTGGGACAATAGTTTTAACTGATTAAAGGAAAATTACTACTTTTTAAAAATCAAATAAGCAAAACAATATAAGCAAATTACTGTTTACTCACTGGGAGGTATTTTTACTTTTTTATTTTTAGTAATCCCATTTCTAAACCAAATAATGAATTCACTCCATTATAGATGATTTCAATATATCATTTACATTTGAATGTCAATTTTTCAAATTATTGTTTTCCAATTAATGACAAATGTAATGAAGAAATATCAACACACAACTGTTTGAAACAAAAAGAAAGTTTTTATGTTCACCTATTAGATTTCTTCAGTGTTAAAAATGTAAACTTGAAGTCAATGCATGTATTTTAACTAGTAACACAGCGTTCTTGAACACCTTTCTAATTCTAATACTTCACCTTGAGACAAACACAGATTATTCTATTATAATATAATTTGATATTTTATAAATTCTGGTATAAGGCAAAGGTAGGATAATACATTTTCTGGTTTGTATAGAAAAGAAAATGCCATGCTGACAGAGTTTCCTGTGCTATGTATGCTAGTGTCCAGTAGCAACTGCTGTTTTAAAATTGCAGTTCAAGTCAATCACTGGTTTTGGTACACTCATTTGAATATAGCCTCCTTCTCACCAAACTATACAAACCCAGAGCTCTTATTTTATTATAGATATTTAAAGGGATAAGTTAATTTGTAGAACAGGTACTGTATCCTTCACAATGGTGTTTTCTGTAATTCAGGCATTTATAGAGCAGAATAGCATCTCTCTTCCAAGATAAGCTCATACAACAGGAAAAATGAGTAACTGCAGAACCACCAGCCCTTTTTCAATCTTAAACAACATCACAAAACTAAGTACTGTCTGGGAATGATTGCTTGGAGTTTTGTTAAATTGTGTTCAATGAGTAATGTACAGTGCTTTTAATTTCTCTTTGCAGTCTGCATTTTATTGTTTTTGACACTGAGGCCGCTCATGACATCTTGAAGGTATGGGATGGGCCTATTGATAGCAGCATCCTTCTGAAAGAATGGAGTGGCTCAGCCCTTCCAGAAGATATTCACAGCACTTTCAACTCATTAACATTACAATTCGACAGTGATTTCTTCATCAGCAAATCAGGCTTCTCCATTCAATTTTCAAGTATGTAAATAATTTTTCATCTCTAATATAGTATTAATATACACTATTAATAGATATTATTTATATATAAACTGTTCCTCATCTTATAACTAATCTTAAAAAATAGATTCTACAATTTTAATCATATATTTATGCAAATAGTTTCAACTAGGGACAAGTTCTGTATTTTCTTTGAAGCTTAAGTTTTCTTATTCCTTGTTTTGCACAGCAGCCATATGCCTATCGTTGTCTAGTTAGCATTATTTAGCAAGTCAAAATGGATTTGTACATACATAAGTTTTCTTCTGCACTGATAGTTTTAAATGTTCCCACCAGTGCTACCTAACAATATATTACTTTGTGTTTACAAATTGTGTTGCTTGGGGGTTTTTTTCTCACAAGATTGGTTGCATCATTTTTATAACCTTAACAACTGTTTGTGTACATTATTAAACTGAAAAATAAAATGCATTTTACCATATTGAAATACATTTTAAAATCTGTTATTAAATGGATCAAATTCATCTTCAGGTCTAAAGTGAAAGCATATTGTTATCAATATTGTAACATTAACTATGTGGAAATTTTTCTATGATGCTATGATGAAGTGTTAGACAGAGGGTAGGACTGCAGGGAGACTATATTGTTGTCTTTTCTCAGTTGCTGCATCCTTACATATCTAGATTTCTAGTCAGGAACATAGGAGAATTATGAATTAATAAAATGTGTAAGATTAGGAGTATTATTTAAAACCTCTGTAGGTGCTGCCATTCGGACACAAAGGGCACAGATAAGTTTTCTCTCATTATTTGCATAAGGAAATATACTTTGGGCATTTCCTTGTCTCTAAATAATGCCTTTTACATTTATCCATTTACTCCATTTTGCTTGATTTTTCTGAATGCTGTACCCCCAAACCACAGGCTCTTCTATCAGCCCTAAGATACCTAGTTAAAGGAATGCAAAATAAATCAAAGACACAGAACAAAATAAATGTTTCTAAAATTTGTGACCAGTGTGCTGCTTTTCATGTTGTTGAAAGAAGTTAAATTTTACATTTGTGGAAATGAAGGTGGTTTTTTACTCTGTTAAGGTTAGTAAACACATTGTATGTTGTATTTTATGGAAATATGTACAAGTTTATGCACGAAATTTGAAAGGAGGGACATATTTAAACAGATTTGACATTATATTCTTTGACCTTCAGTGATACTTGTAGTAAGTAGGAGATAATTTAATGCCTTAAGGGTGAAGAACTGATTTTGCCATCTTAGTAAAGTATCTGGTGGATGCACTCAGTGATCATGCTAGCAGTTGCAGAGTGTGTCTTACTGGAATTAATTGGATTTAGTGGTGAAGAACTGAATGCTCAAGTAAAGGGAAAATTATATTAGAAGTTTCGTTCACCCTGCTTGACAAGTGGAATGTTTCATTAATTTTTTAATTGTAAGCAGTAAAATATATGATTTAAGGAATATGTTAAAGTAAATTTTTAATTATTTAATCTAAAAATCAGAGCTTAGTTTATTCAGTCTCCTTGAGGTAATAGGCAGACCACTATGGCTTTGATCTATAAAGGATTTAAACTAATTAACCTATAGCTAAGTGAGGACCTCTGCATGCTTTTAGTATTCATTAGATGTTCAACCTGAAGGCTAGTTTATAGTAAAGCTGCACAGAGTATTGAAAATCCACTGCGTTAGTAGTTTGTAACTCAGTGAACTTAAGTTGCTTAAAATTCTTCTGGTTATTGCAGAAGATGTGGATATTTATTACAAATTCTGTGAAGGTAACTGGTCAAGTTTTGTGTCATTGTGTCACTTGAAGTATTTTCAAGTGTTGCAATTATTAACGAGTGCATTTTATTTTAATATTAATTACAATCCAAGAAGTAAACTTCAGGTGCAGAATTGCACAAGATTAGAAAACCTTCAATATTCTGGACTTCTGGTTTGGATTATGCAATTGGGATGATTGTCAATGAACGTCAACTTGTGGGATTGTACAAAGGATATATATCTGAGAACATATAGTCAACTGAACAGTTTAAAGACAAAGCATTAAAGAGCAAACCTTCTGCTGGAGAATTTGTTTCACTGTGCTGTGAATGTGCTGATTACTTTCCATACTTTGCACTCTAAAATGTAATACTGCATCTGCCAAAGGAAGAAGCATTGAGAAAGGATGGTATGAAGTAGATCAGAAAATACCACCTATAAATTACTTACTGTTGATTGTAAATGTAATTAAAGGAATTTTTAATGGAAGATTGTAAGTGGCTGAAGCTTATAAAAATGTTTGAACACTATTAAAAGTGCCTTGTCTTGCCCACTCAGCTCAGCATGTAGAGCATGAGGACACGAACTGACAAGAGTGATTATGTTAATTGTAATCAGTCTAATGCTTTTCATTAAAACTTAATTACCATTTAATCGTGCATAAAAGGACAATAAATGGAGTTCACTGTACAAAACTGACCTTTACTGTGGGGGTTAAATACATTTAAACTATATATTACAAACCAGGGATGTCAACCAACTCTTTCTGGTCATGATACAAAAAGTGAACACAAGGGTGAATTTGGTAAATTGCTTCTTTATTCCAAAGAAACAAAGTTGCTGGCATCAAAAACTTCCTACCTAAGTTAACCATCAAAAAGAAGCTTCCTAACCTAGCTTAGTTCTGTCTTACATGTCTAAAGGTAAATGGGATATAAATTTCCCTCTGAAATGGTTCTTTTCTTTTTTTCAGCTATAGGTCTAGATATACTAACATTAAATTTCAAACATCTGGACACCTTAGGGCAGGTGAAATGAATCCTACTTGTCTTTTCACAGGTGTTAAGTTCCCTTTGAGATACCATAAGGTGTCCTTGCTAGTCTCTGTGTGCTACTCCAGGTTACACATCCATAAGTCCTTGGTCATATCTTCCAGACCTGTGCAGATACCTTGGATATTGTAAGACATCCTGAATAAGACTAGCTACGTATTTTGAAGTAGATCTGTCTTGCTCTGAATGTTAATTTTCAACTACTCTAGACTTCTGAAAGTACTTGGAGTTCGTGCTAGTCTATGGCCCATTGCTTTTATTGACCTGAAGTTTATTTTATTGAGAGCTTGTTTATATCTATCCATATAAATTGGTTACTTGATATTTAACAACAATGGAAGTGTCAGATGATAGGAACAGCACTGGTTGTTGGTAGTCATATTATCATTCTTACAGACTCAGCCTTGTTTTAACAATACCTAAGAGTAGTTCTACCCTTAAAGTCTAACCTTTTTTCTTGAACTAAATTCTCAACCTATCTCTGCTTTCATATGAACAGAAAGGTAACATTGCAACTAACAAAATGTTAATAAAGAATCAGATTTTTTTTTCTCAATTTCTTTTTAATATTTCTGTCTTACTAGAAGAACTTAAGACATTCATTTTATTAAAAGCAAAGATATGAAATAAAGGCACTTGCATAGTTGGTTTAATCCAGTTTTTATTTTTCTGTTGCTTGCTTACTTTCCCAGTATTTTTAAGATCTTATTTTGAATTAAATGTAGATATAAGCAATAAAGATATCTGACTATATCAATTATGAAAATAGAAATGAAAAACTTATAGCAAGCAGTTAATTAGAACAATCATTTGGAAATAATTGTCTGATGTGACACATCTGTTGATATCTTACTTTCTCTGACAAGAATTTAAGCATCAGCAGTTCTGATAGTTCCTAATAACACTGGGCTTAATCTGACAATTCTGTTTAAGCAAGGATGCCTGCTTCTGTCCAGTTTTGTATTTCCCTTTGATCATTTGTTTGTCTACAGTGATTCTTACAGTAACTGTCACCTGTCTTGAGCTGATGAGTACTGTTGTCTTGTAAACTGTTCTTTTATTGCTGAGATATCTTTTAATCACTTGCTTAATGACTGGAGCTATTGCATTTAAGAAGTATAAGAATTTCCATGACAGAATCTTCATTCCTAGGATTTGTCATGCAGTTATTCCAGTTTGATTCACAATTAAATTATAAAGAAAAGGTTAGCACAAAAATATATTTTAGAAGAAAGTTGCACATGCATAATCAAATACCTGCTTTACTAACTGAATTTTGAGTTCAAAGAAAATGAAATCCATTAAGACATCCCTTGTTAAAATAAATAAAAGGACACAAGACACAAGAGTTCAAGATTCCGTTTTAAAGTCCATAACCTGATCATTTCACAATTCAGTCTTTTCTCTTGCTTTCTGTGATGCTACAACTTTTTCATTGTATGTTCACAATAACAGTTTGATGAAACAGTCTTAGCATTGCTATCCATCATCTAATCCATGACCATGGATTGTAGAGGGTAGCCATTCTTCATTTGGTTCTTGTGGAACTAAGTAGAAATAAACTTGTAGGTTACTTTGATGGTTATCTCTAAACTTAACAGCTTTTGTACTTCAGACTTAATGAAAGGGGTTGCATTAGCATTTGGGTTTCTTTTTTTCATTACATTCTTGGCCAATACATTTAAATACGTGGTTGATGCTAACATACTTTGATATGCCAAAATCCTTCTCAGACCTATTATGCAAGGATAGCACTCTAAACAGGGGAAGCTTGTGCATTGTCTGCAATTTACAAGCTTAACTCCAGAAAAGTCTTTATTATTTTTATAACCACTAGAAAAAACAAGTGTTTCAACACAACACTATTGCAAATGACATAGGTGATTGTTTACCACAGATACAGTGAAAAAATGTTGATGAAGGTGATGTTTTGTTTTGTTTTGTTTTGTTTTTTTCTTGAGCTACAATACATGACAGGCTAAACAACCAGTTAATTGTCTTTCAGGTGAAGTATAAATCAGGCACAAATCTAGCATATTGCTCACAAGGCTACTGATACACAAATATATAGGGTTTCATATTTTCAGAAACAGCCTCCTTCAGATTTTCACTGAAGTTTTAAATCAATTTTGAAAATTTATTTTGGGGCCCAAATCCAAACTAAGGTCTAAAATGGGATACTGGAAGATTATTAAATTAAAAACAGAGAGCCTGAACATGGTGGCTGCCAACATGCGAAGGTCTGGAGCTCCCTAGCCATCTGTGGTTTTGCCACTTGCCCATTCTTCTGGCACCTACCTCTAGTTCCATCTTTTGTACACAGAAGCCTGTTCAACTCTGAGCAGAGGAGATGGTAAGAGATGGGAAATCGGTACAGAGTATTACTCTATAACCCACTGGATCTCATGTAGCTTACTGCTTTGAACATATGTCTAAGAACTAAGAAGCAGCAATTTAATTCTTTTCCAGTTTAATGGAATTCAGATCCTCTCTCCTGACTATGCCATTTTAGACACATAGTTTTTCTCAGTAATTTCTAAGAAGTCTGACTAGGAAATTTGGTATGATTTAGCATCCATGAGTCTAAAATGTAGTTATTACTTTCCCTGCTTTATAGCGTATATGTTGTAATTGTGTTTAGCTTCAAGTTTCTGGATTCATTGGGAGTTTATTGAAAATTGTATATGGCAGTGTTACATCACAGCATGAACATGGCCTCTCATAAGTGTGTAAGCTAGATATTAATTGCATGTCCATATATTAGTCTCGGGGCTGAGAAGAAATGCGCCTGTTACAAAAGACCACCGATGACAGAAGAACTGGTGATTTTTAATGTCTGGATTACTTCTGAATACATATAACCTCTATACCCTTTAGATACTTGCACAGTAACAAATGAAGCAGTAGTAGACTTGTAATTTTCAGGCAGTTACAGAACCTCTTGGGAATCTTGAGTAGTAAAACAACTAGGAAAGGAGACAAGTTGAAAAGTTGACAGTCTGTCTAAATGTTCACTTCAGTAGATGACACATCGGTGCTTAAATGGCTGGTGTTTTGTTTAATTAGGATCAAATGTATTTGGCATGATAAAAAGGTTGTTAGTTTCAAATACATAAAATAACTTCTGAGGCTGCAAGAACGAAAGTGTAAGGAGTATTTTGGTGCTTATTAAGCATCTGTGAGTGTTTTTAAAATTTAGAACTTTCTATTATAAGAAATGGAGGTTAACAGAGAAAGAATATTAAAAGGCATCAGTCCTTCGTAACTGGTGCATACTTGACACAGTCAAAATTGAAAAAAAATGTTGTTTGCTGAGATATTATATTGCATAACCTTTTAAGGAGAAAATGCAGATATTCAGAGATTTTTTGAAAAAAAAGATACTGATTAATGACAGAGGTGGGTTTATGTTTATTTACTTGCAAGAATTATGATTCCTTAACAGACATGCACTATAGTGATGCATTTTTTGGAGCTGTTATTGAGAAATAACTTCTCTGAGGTCATGACCGTATTTTCCTTCCCTTGTGGCCAAGTATACATTTAGTAAGCTGCACTAATATGGGATGTCTACTTTAACTCTGGGATTATATAAAATTCTGGTGGAAAAAAGTCCACCACTTCTAAAAACCCTTCCATATCTTTAACTTCATTTAGGAATAAGGTATGAGACACTATTTTGGAATGGAAACATGGTCAAAAAATTATGAATAATGAAATGTTAAAGCTTCTTTGTAGTATGTTAATTGTCAGAACGCATAAATTGATACATATATCTTCTGCAGTTTCTGTGATTTGTCTAAGTGACCGCCTATTTACTAGATCTTAGAGAACCATTTTACCCATATAAAATGTTTCTCATTTTGCTCTTTTTTTTTCCCCCAACCTGTCTCTTGAAAAGTTACAGCACAGAAAAAAAGTTTCCCAGTTGTACAAATTGGTAATTGTTTCAGTTTTCCAAATGTTTAGTTGTTCTTGCTGTTTCTTATAGTGGTATACTCTTTTGGTGTGGACGGAAGGAGTAGATGCAGTCGTTAATACAGAAATGGGCTACCTGCACATTATGATCACAAAGGTTGCATGGTGATGATAGTGGTAGAGTTCTATCTTATGAAAGCCTTTGGGTTGTACTGTTTGAAATGAGCTAGCAAAGTAATTTTAATAAAATGTTAATATTTCCTGGGATTGAAACAGAAAAAAAATGAAAAAAACAAAAACCACCCCATCCCCAAAAAATAGAGGAGGGAGGATGGACTGTTATCACTAATACACATCATTTATAGGAGGTATGAAAGAGTCTGTGCCTCTCTATTTGAAACAACAGAAAGCAATTATCAAGCATAAAGAAATATTACTTTGTGTTCTTAGTTTTTTTTGGCCTGTAATTTGTAACACTATCCTAAACCCCAAGTACTTGAAGTGCTGCATACTGCTCTATATACATTCTTTCCTTGGGAAGACTGCAATGTTTATTGCAGCTCAGGATGTTGCATACCTAAAGCTGATGTAAAAGACCTGGCATATTCCACAAATCCATAGTGGGTATACATTTGTGTATCCACTTTCTGGATGATTATTTACTTTAAATCATACCATATTGATTGTTCTGCTCAGTTTAACATTGCTTTTATAATTAATTTATTGCTTCGCTAATTTATTTTTTCGCAAAGCAAAATCCAAATCAAAACGAATCGTAAGAAAGTTGTTGCTTGCCCTTGATATGGGAACTTCAGGGCTACATAAAACTGCAATTTGATTCTGCCAGCTGAGTAAACATGGCATTTGCATGCTGCAGGATATTAAGACTATAAACCAATGTTATTTATATTATGATACTTAGCCTATTGTGCAGAAAAGCATCAAAGTGCATGTAGAAGTTTGTGTTGATAATCAGAACATTAAAGTGAGAAAAGGAGCTACTAGCTCTTTTGATGCATTAACTGGACCAAAAAAAAAGAAGAGCTTGTGCTTGTTTCAGGCCATATTTTATACTAAGGAAACTGGCAGGAAGCCAATATAATCACAGTGTATCTCAGCGAGCAGATTCTCGTAAAAATAAAGAGACAAAATGCCTTCCTGTATTAACTGATGAGTAAGTAATATTGCCTCCGGTTGGAATGCTCATGTAAAAATGTTGTGCATTTAATTATGGATGTTTAGTATCTATACCTTAAAGATTTATTTTACCATTTCTCTACAGCTTCTATTGCATCAACCTGTAACGATCCTGGGACACCACAGAATGGTACTAGATACGGAGACAGCCGAGAGCCTGGAGACACTACAACCTTTCAATGTGACCCTGGCTATCAACTTCAAGGACAGGCTAAAATTACATGTGTGCAACTGAATAACCGATTCTTTTGGCAACCTGATCCTCCTACATGCATAGGTAATAAGATGAAATGTTAGTCTCTTTTAAAGATTAATACAGATCAGATTTCTTATTCAACTAGTGGGCATATGATGCTCATGCTGTAGTGACGCTCTTTGTAGAACCCAGTTATTTCATACTTACGGTTACCAATAGCCCCATCCTCAAGATTAACACTATTTTTGGATGGAATTTTCTCACTCTATTCTATTCTTTAAACTTCATACAAGGTTAAAATGAAAAAAGTCTAACAGAAATGATTAAATGGAAGCAGTAATTTGGATAAAAAGATTTCTCGCTGAAATGGTCTCGTTAGCTTGGTCTTCCGTGTAATAATTTGGTTACATAAACTGCAATCCGGTATTTATTCTGGAAAAATTCTGATGTATTTCTATAACAGCAGGAGAGAGTGGGAGCTGTTCTTTCTTTGAAGCAAGTTTTGATTCTTGGTTCCATAGTCCTATATGGCATAAAGGTTTCTCTGAGGTCAGTAGACTAATGATTACAGGCTTAGAAATCTTGCTGGAATGTAATTTAAGGTCATGAATGTAGCTCTTGTAACATTAGAGTTAATCAACATCTGTGAAAATTTATCTGCTAGGTACACCAATTTTTTAAATCTTTAGGATTTTTTGCCTATTGATATATAATTAAATGAAGACTTACTTTTATGATCCTAAAACCCAGATGCAATATATTTTAATAGCACTGGAATAAACATAATGCTGTATCTTTCTACAAGCCATTTTAGAGTGGCTCTTTCCAAAACAGCAAATCTCCAAACAACTGCAGTCTGTCTTTCACTGAAGTGTTTACAGATACCTCAAAATTACTAGAAAGGATTCAAGGTAATGCAGGACACTTTCTCTAAATCCATATCATCTAGCAGAATTAGAACAGCATATAATCTCAATATTGTCTTCTGGATACCTTGTGTGCAATATATAAATTTCAGTGTGGATTTGTTTACTAAAGACACTCAGATTATTCAGAAATTAAAATATTTACATAAAAATAAAGAATGAAATGTATGTAGTGTCTAAAGGTCTAGAAGATTCATACTCTTTTTGTAAATAGCAATGATAATCACTCTGTATTTCTTCACACTCTAATAAAAAAACCCAAAGAATCCTCCAAAGAACAGCAAAAACTAGCAGGAAATTAAGTACAAAAGAAAGAAAGAAAGAAAGAAGGAAATAAAGGAAAAGTACAGCTTTTTTGTGGGACAAAAAGTATATTCATATTGTTATTCTTACGTATACTCAAGGAGACATTGAAAGGAAAAGCAGATTAAAGAAGCACTGTACACATGACAATATTAGAAACTGTAAGGATTCTGTAAATCCATTATGTGTATTTTAAAAATTTTCATAAAGTCCTTATTTCAGTATGCTGACTTATAAATGAAAAATTATTTACATTTAATAACTGTACTGTTCGGTACTCTGAAGGTTGTGTGACTTCCATTCCTGATTAATGTTTTTTGCTCCATTTGTACTTCATAGCTTTGATCATGGTTATCACAGGCAGAATCATCAGCAAACATAAGCACACATGTTGTTTCAAAAACATGTGAAACATTTCCTGGAACCAGTATTCATGTATGAAACCAAAAAGAAAAGAAAGTTAAAGAAAACAAAACAAAAACAAAACAAAACAAAAAACCCACAACCAAAAAAAAAAGAAAACCCAAACCACCACCAAAAAAACACAGAAAAAAATGCACCCTGGAACAAAAATAATTACTAAAATACCCAAACTACAGATACAAAACTCTCCAGATACATAGATATGCTATATTTTTAAATAAACAAATAAGTAATGGAGGGGAAAATCATATTTAGTTTGTTACCATAAATACCATAAGGGAAATGTCTTCATTAGGGTTAGGTGTGTTGTTTCCAAGCAAATTTTTTTGCTCTCACTTTAGTTCATTATTTTGAATTTTCTTAGAATCATAGAATGGTTTGGGTTGGAAAGGACCTTAAGATCATCTAGTTCCAACCCTCCTGCCATGAGCAGGGACACCTTGCACTAAACTATGTCATCCAAGGCTCTGTCCAGCCTGGCCTTGAACACTGCCAGGGATGGAGCATTCACAACTTCCTTGGGCAACCCATTCCAGTGCCTCACCACCGTCTCTGTGAAGAACTTCTTCCTTATATCTCATCTAAGCTTCCCCTGTTTAAGTTTAAAGCCATTACCCCTTGTCCTACCACTAGAGTCCCTAATGAAGAGTCCCTCCCCAACATCCTTATAGGCCCCCTTCAGATATTGGAAGGCTGCTATGAGGTCTCCACGCAATCTTCTCTTCTCCAACCTCAACTTTCTCAGCCTGTCTTCATATGGGAGGCGCTTCAGCCCTCTAATCATCCTCGTGACCCTCCTCTGGACTTGCTCCAACAGCTCCATGTCCTTTTTATGTTGAGGACACCCACATAAAAAGCTTTTGAGTGAAACTAAACCGTAAGATGTTTTCTGTCAGTGCATCTGATATAGTCAAACCACTAATGAGCATTCAGTCCATTGGACCAGGCTAGAAATGGCCCTTAGTACCAACTGTTTTGCCTACAGATGTGTTCCTGTCAGTCTGTGTGGCTCGATAATATAAAAGCAGTCTGTGTTTACTGCTGTACTTTCTAGTTAGACTTCTATGAGATTACAGTGTTTGGAAGTTGGATTCCTTATCTGTTTCAAAGTAATGTTTAATTTATTGTAACTAAAGGAATATATTGGATTTTTTTATTTGGGTAGTACATTTACTGAGTGAATCAAACTATCTTGTGTTACTTCTACAGTCAGAAAAACCCTGCATACAGAATCCTGCTATTGAGCTTTCCCAGTTCTTAAAGTACTTCCGCTACATAAGAAATACTTCAGCTTTCTAGAGATGGGATTAAGTAACAGTAAGAATATTCAGGATCTTAAGGTCCTTTCCAACCCTAACTATTCTGTGATTCTATGACTTCCTATTTAACTTCATATTTTTATTTCTTTAGAAAGACCTTTGATTAGGCTTCTTTTGGACATGCACAGAGCTGACTTTTTGTAAGGAAAATACAAAAATGTGTGCTAGCTGGAAGTGGGTAAAAGCAGAATTCAATTTACTCTTATTTAACAGCTAATATGTGCTTGTGAATTTAACAAGTGACCATATTCGTATTTCTTTTTACATTGTGACAGCTGCATGTGGAGGAAACCTGACAGGCCCAGCAGGAGTTATTTTATCACCTAACTATCCACAGCCTTATCCTCCTGGGAAAGAATGTGACTGGAGAATAAAAGTAAACCCTGACTTTGTCATTGCCTTGATATTCAAAAGGTACCATTTCTAGATGAATGCCTCTGTTTAGAAGGATTTTAAATGTCATGTCTAAAAATGGCATCATTTATCACTTCTTAAAGCTTCTAATTTTATTTTCTGGCTAGGTACTGGAATGTAGTTCTAATGTGTGCTATGTCATTGCTTAAAAATAACATAAAACTATATAGTTATATGGCACTTTTGATATCAAATACATTCCTGAGCAATGAAAATTTCTATGACCTGTGAAATATCTTTGAAAAACAATAATTTGAGAAATGCTTGATTTACATTGTTGTACGTTATAGCGGAGACTTGAACAGTAGTGGAAACTCTGTCTGTAACTCAGTTCTTAAAGGTTTTTACAAACACAGGCTAAATACGCTTTGCTTGGAAAGCATAGATCAGGGGAAAAAAATGGCCTGCTTAGTCAAGAGGTAGAAGACATCTAGATAATATTTTCATAATTTGAAAAAAAAAAAGTTATATTTACTCAATGCGCTCCATCATCAAACTGTATTTGTTGCATAAATTTTTAACACATATTTAAGTTCAGGGATATAGTCATATTCTTGCATTCAGTTTATCATTTCTATTAGAATCAGGCCTATCTTGCTTGCTGTATCTGTGGATGCAAATGCAGATTTTTTTCTCCTTTAGATTCTCTATCCGAAGTGTGATTTTTCACCTAACAATAGCAACATTGCTGTTGATTTCAGTGAGATGGTGATAATTTTGATTCTTTTAGGAAGAGATGATATGTTCATATTTTTGTTGTGTAATATTTGCACAAAAAAAAAAAAAACACCACCAAAACAACAAAATTGAAACTCCAACAGTTTCTTTTGTTGACTGATTGAAATGTGGTTTTTAATAAAATACCTATACACAAGAAATTAAAGAATCAAAGCCTAAGGTACTTGGAATTGTATAGTCAGGAATATGATAATTCTGTACTTCTAGTGTTTGATCAAATAGTGTTAAGAGATGAGAATAGTTCCCCGCTCTTGACGATATCACGATAGGTAAGGTAAGCAGCATATTTCTGTGGACTGCCTACATAATCAGCTTAAAGGCTTTATTTCAAGTTAGAAAAAATAAATTTGTAGCTACTCAGTATTCGGTTTCTTTGTGAATTCTATTTTAAGGAATACAAGTATAAGCACTATAATGAAATTTGCAGTTTATGTTATACTTCCAGTACATGTTATAGATAATTGCAGTCCACTAATACACACTGGACTGCCAAAATCTTTTTCTAAATTTGATTTTCTGTGCTAGAAGTTCTTAAATTCTCCAGAAAGATATCTTCCTTAGAAATCTGAAAGAAAGAGTTATGCTATTGCTTCCCAGGTTTCTGGCACTACCTTACAACTGTCTGATGTTGGATAATATTCTTGGAAACTCACCATCTTCTTACTGATGGAGATATAGAGCTTTTTAAGGTGTAGATTATGGGGTTGTTTATCTTGTAAATTCTTTTAGAAAACTGAAAAAAAAAATACAAAAAGGGAAATTGGAATGCAAATTAAGAAGGAGGGGAAAACCGATACTGCTACCTCTGTACTTACGGGCATAAAAAGCAAAATGAAAAACTTTTATTTATTTTTTAATAAGTGTAGTATTTTTAGTATAAATATACATAAGAGTTATATTTAATGAAAAATGTGCAAATACATGCTGGCAACTTTGTAATAGAGAAGTGAGATAGTTTTACAAATATATTAATGTTAGAACACAATCAAATAAATGCATTATTGCAAACCTCCTCTGATTTATATGAAATGTCAGTGCGCAAATAACTACATCTTTGCAATCCTTTCTAACTTCCTTGATTTTTAGAGTAGAATAGAGTAGAATAGAACAGAGTATTTCAGGTGGAAAGAACCCACAACAATCATCTAGTCCAACTGCCTGGCCAATTCAGGGGTAACCAAAAGTTAAAGCATGTTATTAAGGGCATTGTCTGAGTGCCTCTTAAACACTGACAGGCTTGGGACATCAGCAGCCTCTCCAGGAAGCCTCTTTCAGTGTCTGACCACCCTCTCAGTAAAGAAATGCTTCCTAATGTCCAATCTAAACCTTCCTTGTTGCAGCTTTGAACCATTCCCATGTATCCTACCACTAGATACCAGTGAGAACTGCTCAGCAGCTCCCTCTGCACTTCCTCTCCTCAGGAAGCTGTAGATAGCAATGATGCTGTGTTTAATGCACTTCAGGGTGCAGTTTGTCCTCCTGGCTGGCAGGGCTTACTGCTATTTTGTATTGAGCCTGCTACTGACCAGCACCACAGATCCCTTTCTGCAGAGCTGCTCTCCAGCCTCTCCTCTCCCAGTTTATACTTCTGCCAGCATTACTCTGTACCAGGTGCAGAATCTGCCATTTGGACTTGTTAAATTTCATCCCATTTAGATCCCTCTGCAGGGCATCTTACTGATCGATAGAGTCAACAGCACTTCCCAGTTTGGTATCATCAGGAAACTTGGTAGTGATGCCTTCAGCTTTTATATCCTGAGTGTTGATGAATATACTGAGTAGAACTGGCCCTAGAATTGAACCCCAAGGAACACAGCTGGTAAGCGATCACCAGGTAGATGTAGCCCCATTCACTACAACCCTTTGAAGTTTGTGCTTCAGCCAGTTTTTCACCCAGTGCACTGTTAATCTGCTCATCTCACAGTTGGACAACTTATCCAGAAGTATGTAGTGAGGGATGGTATCAAAAGCCTTACTAAAATCCAGAAAAAAACTACATTCACCACCTTCCCTTCATCCACTGGGTGGGCAACTTTATTGTAGAAGGATATCAACTTAGTTAAACAAGATTTTCCCTTTGTGAACCCATGTTGACTGTACCTGATGACGGCATTATTCTTTAAATGCTTTCAATAGTACCCAGTATAATCTTCTCTATAATTTTCCAGGAATATTTTCAATGTGACATGGTTCACTAAGATTATATTATAAAGATCACACGTATGTGCCATCACTTGATTTAAAGGCTCCAAACTCCATTCATTTTAGTTTATAGGTTCCTCAGTACAACAGCCTTAAAAAAAAAAAAAACAAACAAACAAACAAACAAAAAAGTAAAAAAAGGTCTGTAGTTCCTTGGGCCTTCCCTCACACCCTTCATATAAATTGCCATAACATTGGCTAGCTTCTAGTCAGCAGGGACCTCCCCACAGACTCCCAAGAGCTTTGGTATATCAAGAGGTGTAATGTTTCTTTGACATCTACAAAATCTACTTTCTTAACATAGCATTTTCTGTTCATCTAACGTTTTTCATTCTTAGACATTACGCTACAGTATACTTGTATGTGTGTATATATATACGTGTATATACATGTGAGTATATATTTATATGTATATGTGTATATAAAGGTGTGTATATACATATATTTACACACACATATATGTGTATATAAACACATATATATACACATGTATATGCACATACATATATGTGCGGATATATGTGTATATATGTATATATACACATATACACATATATATACACACACATATATACACACACATATATATATTATACCTGTATTATTCTCAAGGAAGGAAAGCGCTTTGAGAAAATAGCAGTGCCTGCATAGGATAAGGCTGTGGGCTGAGAATAGAGAGATGCGCTATATTTTGTCAAATTTGTGTAGGCTACAGAAAGATTGAAAACCATTGCCCTGTGCAATTTACTTTTCCTTGGTTTTGGTCTTTAGACTGCTATTTCTTTCAACTTATCTAACTCTCAAGGAAAAATTCTCTGTCTTAGCAAAAGTTTCAAAACATTTTTCTGGTATCTCTTACCTCTTGAAAATAGGGCATGAAATATTATTCATTACACAAAGCCATTTTCATTTGACATTACATGACTTGGAAAAGTTTGTGTTTAGCAGTGCTAACTGATAGGATAGAAAGAAAAACAGCTGAGCACCACACTAGCAAAAAAGCCAATTTTTTTTTCTTTTTTTTTTTTTTTTTTTTTTGGAAAAAAAACAAAGACAAATAGAAAGAAAAAAAAATCCTGGCACTTGACTGAGTCTTTGGCTGATTTTTTTTTTTTGTTTTAAATGTAGGTTTACTTGTACTTTCTTTAGTTGTCCTAGTGTGTCCTTTTATCTAGCTCTGTGTAAGTTTCTCATGTAAATGCCTGTGTGTTTATCTTTATATTGCCTCAGAACTCACCTCAATTAAATTCTTCTGAAAGACATTCCACTGATCTTCATTATTACTTTGTATAGAGATATAAATGTCATAAAATATGGCATAGCATAGATGGTTTAGTGAGAAGAATAATAATGTTACACTTTATCATAATTCGTTGATATAATTTGGGTATGAACAGAGGCAAGTTCCAGGATGGTGGTCTTTCCATTTGAAAGCGTCTTACATCTAAAATGGTAAATTTATATTTGTAATGGGTGGACTTAATATCATCCGTTTAGCCAGGTAAAAGCTTGACTTTTAATTTAAATTGTTTGTCTGGGTCATTCCTGTGATCACTGGTAAGAAGCAGCCTTTCTACAGCAGGTGATTAATTTCATCTTGAGAAAGGTTTTAAGATCATTGGGAGGATATGCTGCTTTTTCACTGACTGTAAACAGAGCCTGAAAGACGGCTGGATAGTAGATCTTTTGGAAAAGTGAAGGTTTTCAAATCAGTTGAAAGTTAGTAAATTTTCACTGTGGATCATATTTTAAAAGACTTTTATTTCTGGAGAAGAAAATGTGTTAGGCAGAAGATTGGCAGCCACAGTCACAGTAGTGTTTAATTCATGAAAAAGAAATGAAGACTTAATTATCTTTTTCCTTTATTTTCAGTTTCAATATGGAACCCAGTTACGATTTTCTACATATTTATGAAGGGGAAGATTCCAACAGTCCTCTAATTGGCAGTTTTCAAGGCTCACAGGCTCCTGAAAGAATAGAGAGCAGTGGTAGCAGCCTGTTTCTGGCTTTTCGCAGTGATGCTTCTGTTGGAATGTCAGGATTTGCCATTGACTATAAAGGTACTGTTTGCACCGTGATCAATAGAAACATAAAGGGAAGGAATTGTTATTTAGTATATATTGAGACTCAAATCTGTTTACTTCTAGATGAACTCATACTGAACTGCCAAATACCTCTTTGCATTGGTACAGGTTTTAAAAACTATTTTCTGTAAATGTGTGGAGGAACGCAGAATTCCTCTTTCATGAAAACTCTTTCACATCACTTATGCACATTTTCATCTTCCAGAAAAAAAAGTAGAGATAGAAGATGCACATCAAAAGTAGCATTAGGAAAAGACTTGTAGAATAATGGAATTGTCTCACCCAATTAGAATACATGACTGCTGCAGCTTCTTGCTGATATGTAACAATAGATTTTCCTTTCCACTTTTTTGTTGAATATGCATACCTATTTTTTAATAACTACTGCTGGACAATAGTTGCATTTTCTGGGGGAACCTATTACTAGCCAGAGAATGGCTTATGCTGACTGTTTATTAAAGATAAATGTTTCAAATGCAGGTTCCTTTTCTGGTCACAGATGCTGTCTCCAATTTAATTTTCATCTCTGCTGAGATTTATCAAGCTGTGAGCTGCTACCTCAGCTTCTTATTCTTGATAATGGAAGCAAACCACATTGGTGTACGTCTGATACGTGTGCCTCTATACAACTGAAAGTTAAATGAAATAATAAAAAAAAGTATATGTGCAAAGCAGTATATTTTAAAAAGTTATTATTTTCAATAGACAGTACATTAAGTACAATAAGGGCAGTACAATAAGGTAGTACAATAACTACATTATTGAACATTTATATAAAATGTATAGAATCATGGAATGGTTAGGGTTAAAAGAGACATTAAGGATCATCTTGTTCCAACCCCCTGCCATGGGCATGGACACCTTCCACTAGACCAGGTTTCTCAAAGCCCCATACAGCGTGGCCTTGAACACTGCCAGGGATGGGGCAGCCACAGATTCTCCCAGAAATGTGTTCCAGTGTCTCACCACCCACACAATAAAGAATTTCTTCTTCATATCTGATCTAAATCTCCCCTCTGTCTGTTTAAAACCATTCCGCCTTATCCTATCCCTACCTGCTCTTGTAAAAACTCCCTCTCCAGATTTCTTGTAGACCCCCTTTAGGTACTAGAAGGCTGCTCTAAGGTGGAGTCTCACAAGAGTGGAGTAGAGGTTGAGAATCCACTCATTCAACCTGCTGGTCACGCTCCTTTTGATGCAGCCCAGGATATGGTTGGCTTTCTGGGCTGCAAGTGCACACTGCTGGCTCTCATGAAGCTTCTTGTCAACCAACACCCCCAAGTCTCTTCCGGGGGCTGTTCTCAATCCATTCTCTACCCAGCCTGTAGTTGTGCTACCACTGCTGGGGTAGATGGTGCAGACCTCCCAGCCAGAGCTGCAGCCTTGGCTCTCAACAGAGTGCCATTTCTGCCTTGAGGGTCAGATAGGATGAGTGTCCTTGACCTGTGCAGATGGCCACAGAACATGCCTGGTTCCTGGGTTATGTTGACTTGAAGTCCTGCTCGGCTTGTGGAATGCCCTTCCTTCAAAGAGCAACCTCCTGTGTGAACTGTGCAAACTGCCATGCCAGGTCCTGGTTGACACACCATGCTGGGTGTGCCTGTCCCAGCACTCCTGGTCGCTCATGCTCCCTAGGCCTGCCTTTTGTGGGAGTGGTGGATGGCCATTGTTACCCTTAGCACCATGCTTGCCTCGTCAGCCACTCTCGTTTGTGCAAGCTGACAGCTCCTGGTGGGTCTCCGCGTTCCCCTGGTTTTGCCTGGCTCAGGAAACCCTCCCCATGCACCACAATCCTCCACTCTGCTGCAGAACCTGCCTGCACCAAAGCTGATGGCCTTGGCAATGTTTACATTTGTGATTATGGATATCTAGTTTTGCTCTCCGATAATACTCCTTGAGTATTTCATTAAAATATGTACTTTATTAACATAAAACAAGGAAAGGAGGCATGCTGTAAACGTGAGTTTGACTCTGGAATTTTTTAATAAAAATTTTTTGCCTCCTATAATGAACTTTTTTAGGTGCATCCTTCTCATAAAGAGTTCACATATTTTGCAAAATATTATTTATAGGAAGAATATTGCACAGTATTTTCTGAAATGGTTCTGAATTGTTTTCAAGCCTTATGTGGGCAAAAGTATTGCATAGTTATCGGCAGTGTAGTAATACTAATGTTTTGTTCTCAGTTACAATATTCTGTTCATAAATCCTTCCTATTTGATGATCATCTCAGTTGTGTTCTTGAAAAAAAGTAATTTCTAATATGAATTGTTTGTCCCAACCCATCTTGATATTTGAACTTGCCAAAGATGAATGAAATCCTAGCCTTGTTAACATCAGTGCGTATACTCAGTTTGACTTAAAGATATCATACCTGTTAGCTCATGCCAGAAAATAACTACTGCCTTTTTTTTTTTTTTTTGGTCAGCCTTCAAGCTCCAGTTGTTATTAAATCTTAAATATGAAGCATAAAGGGACAACAAATTTTTAATGTTTAAATTATTCCATAATATGGCAACTTTCTAAACAGAAGTTACTGAGTGCTGATCATGATACTTGGTAAAAAAACGTGTTAAGTGGTGAACTCTAGAAATGTTAGTTCTTCTGTTACACTACTAAGCTTCACTGGAGTCATTCAGCTTTTGGAGAGTTCTACTAACAAAAGGTAGGAAGAAGATGCTGTTGGTTAGATCCTCTCAGTATAATTTCCTTGGCCAGATAACCAATCTGTTGCAAACTTCCATGACCTTGTAGTAAGCATACAGAAACAAAAAAAAGATTTTAATAAATTGTTGAAAAATATAAACTGACTGGGAAAAAACACTGGTAATTTTGCAATTTTGAGCTCTTCTATTTTAATTGAAAGTGTATATGGATTTACTTTAATTCATTTTAACAGAAAAGCCACGGGAAGCTTGTTTTGATCCTGGAAACATCATGAATGGGACAAGAATTGGAACAGACTTTAAGCTTGGTTCAACCATTACGTACCAGTGTGATTCTGGATATAAGATTATGGATCCTTCAACTATAACATGTGTAATTGGTGCAGATGGAAAGCCAGCGTGGAACCGAGCATTGCCATCTTGTAATGGTATGTACTGTTTTCTTACCATTTTCCTTGTCCCTCCAGTGAATCCAGAATTTCTGGGTCTCTGAGGCTGTTTATACTATTTCTATGCATGTATCTTGCATTAAAAACCACCTCAAGCTAAAAAATAAAAATTACCAGTTTTTGACTATAGCTTATTCACTAACGTATTGTTTTAACTATTTCAAAATAGATTTTGAAATCAACACATATTATGTTCATAATAATAATTATAATTTAATAATAAGTTCCTGTGGTTTCCCCTTTACATCAATTTTAGTGAAAGGCTTCTGATCTGTGTAAGAATCCATATAAAATAGACTAAATAATAATTATGAAGTATTACTGACTTATCAATTTTTTCTTTTTATTCTCTTTGTATTACCAGTTGCCAATTTATTGTTTCTTAGATTGCAAGCAGGGGCAGTCCTTTAAACAAAATGGAGCTTCAGTATATGACTGATTTATAATAAAAGGGATTGATCTGTACTCCCACATAGACTCAAGATGTTTTCAGGTATTACATTCCTAGTGGTAGTAATTCAGAATGGCATTTTAGAAGTAGCAACTTAAACTATGCATATGGTGTTTCAGTTGTGCTCAGGCAAGGACTGGGGACTGGATGTGGGTTGTTCAACTCAAATAGTTAGACTATTTCCAGCATGATTTTTGTCCAGACCATATAGCACTCTTTAAAATTTGTTAGGCACAGTGCAGGAGTAAGCATAGGACAGAGGCTGTTCTCTCTGAGCCTTCACTCCCTGCCTGAATTATAAGTGCTGGTTTAAAGTTCTGTTTCTGACTTCCTCCTGAATGGTCCTCAAATCTACACTGTAATTAGCTGATCTCCTGGATGGACCCCTGTACATATCTCTGAAATCGGAAGGGACCTCTGAAGAACACTTAATCCAGCCTTACTCAAGCAGGGTCATCTAAAACAGATTGCCCAGAATTGTGTCTGGTTGGTTTTCAAGTATCTCCATGGATTGGGACTCCACAACCTTTCGGGGCAACCTTTGCTAGTGTTGACTATCTGCACAATCACTGTCTCTTGTTCAGTGAGTGGACACCACTAAGAGTCTGGCTTCTCCCTCTTCTTCTGTTCCTCCCATCAAGTACACTGATAAGATCCCCCAAGCCTTCTATTTCTTAGGCTAAATAGTTCTAGCTGTCAGCATTTGAAAGATGTGCCAGTCTATTAATTACCTTCATGGATCTTCACTGGACTAGCTCCACTAAATCCATGTATTTCTTGTACCAGGGAGCCCAGAACTGAGCACAGTACTCCAAATACAGTCTCAGTAGTGCTGAGTAGAAGGGAAGGATCACCTCCTCGGCTGTTTTGCGAAATAATCTTCCTAACACATGGCCTAAGACACAGATGGCCACATTTGCTGTAAAGGCACGTTGCTTGCTCATGTTCAGCTTGTTGACCACAATTAACAAAAAAACAGAAATTAAGATGGATATTTTTTCTTAGAGGTTGTTGATTTAGTAACTTTATTTTTTGAAAGATTTTAAAGAAAAATAGCAAGTGTTTTTTTCCCTCCATATGGTGAATATTTAGATCACATGAAACAACAGGATGAATGTTTTGCTTATAAAGTGTGCAGAATGCAGTTTTTGCTGTGACATGGCAATAATTTAGCTTTCATAGAAAAAAAATCTGTGGTTCACCTTATAAACTGATAGCTTCTCATCTTATTTTTGTGTCTTTACAGAAATTCAAATTTAAATTTAAAAATCAGCATTTATTTTCTTAATTTTTAAAGGAGAATGAATATCCTCTTAAATAATTTGCTATTAAAATTGTACCTTTTATTATAACAGTTTATAAAATATGAAATAAAGAATTAGGGGAAATGTTCTTTTTAATCCTCTATTTTTTACACCCAGGAATAAAGATCTAGAACAGGCAGACAGATATATATTAAAATAATAGCTGTATTTTAACAAAATAGACATCAATATCTGACACTGAGTTCATTCTGAGGATCATCAATAGATAATTAAAAATCTAAAATTTTGCAGGAGATCATTTTTCAACATAAATCACTTAGTACTTTATTGACAGTGACTAATACAGGCAAGTTTCATTTGATTTGCTAGGATTGCTCTATATTTATACAACACAAATGCTGAAACAAGGGTTAGAGCATAAATTAGTTAGCCATAACCCTGAGATGAAATTTTAATTTTCTGTCTCAGTAGTTATAATTCATATTCCAAGATGACAATTAATGTGATATCTATTCTAAATAATACTGGGAGTCTAAAGAAGCAGAAAGATTAGGTATCTTGACATTTGAATAAGTGCTTGTGAAAGTATTTTAAGTCCATTTACCTAGTATGGTTTACTGTGTGTTCCATTTTAAACCACACACTCGTATGACTTCAGTTTATGTGTGGAGGCTTTTTATTGTATCATTTAAATGATACATGATTATTGCTACACTTGTGTCTCTAATACAGAGTAAACCTAGAAAAAAATACTTACCTCTTTAATAAAATAGTCTTGAATTTTGAGAAAGGACAAAAGTCTCAAATTGTGGGTTATAATGGAACCGCAGGTTGCTGAATCTGCACAAGCTTTTTGGATCCTTGTGAATCTTAGTTTACCATAGTACTGTAATGAAGGCTGTGTCAAAGATCAGAGGAAGTAAAGCATCCTTTTTGTCACAGGACACAGTTTTGAGTAAAATTGAGACACTAGTAATTTAAAGTAAAAGAACAATGATGTGAGTGGAAAGTCTAAATATAGGTATGAAATACATATAAAACAGACACATAATTTGAAGGGTAGGGTTCATATTGGAGTCCAGAACCAAAATACGCTGAGGCTCACTGTTTTGTTGTCACATAAAACCCTCTTCAAATATACAGCTTAACTCAATCAAAATGCAAAATACCAAACAAAAAAGCTCATGATGCAATTTTAACACAATATCCTGAGTTTATATTTCATCATTTATACTGATAGCTAATTGCCTCTTTTTGAACTTCTTTAGAATATTGTATGAGTAAGCATTACAAATTTTGAAGCGTGATTACCGTATAGTGAACACTACAAATGTCTGAAAGTGATGCACTTGCTTAGTTCTTTAAGTCAATTATCCTAATTAAGTGAATTAATTCAACTTTATTTCTTTGTGGTGTAGTTTTTATTGTGGGTTGGGTTGTGGGGTTTTTTTAGGGTAGCATTTTAGAATCAGACATGATGAAAACAAATTTCAGTTTTAGCTAGGTAACAGCCAACAACTGCCAGTAGGTATATTCTGAAATGCTAATGGAACATTTCAGGCATACTATTTTCATTATTAATTTACATCTTCTGAAAAAGTTGGCTTTGCTCACTAAAACAAACATTACTTATAGTCAAAACTGAGAGATATGTTTAGGATATGTTTGACGGCCACAGCACTGTACTGGTAAATTTTACAGCCTTAATCTGTGAGAGAACTTTTCTTGCACCTTTATTGCCTTAAGCACTCACAGGCTTTCCTTACAGAGTGGATATACTACAAAGATGTTATCATAGATATTATCAAAGATATACCTGAAACTAGTAAAACACATTTTAGAAGGGAACGTTTTTACAACTCTGTAACTTTTGTGTTTGTTTTAAGTTAAGCATAAGTGATACATTTTTGTTCAAGTGAAATGTTCATAACTTGAGAATTTCACCTGGTAATTGGGAAATGATAGACTTTGTGGCTTAGTCTCTGGTCTCCTCAAAGCAAGAAGAGAAGAAACGTAGATTTGAAATTCATGGCATTCATGATTCCTTGTGATATTTGAGCTTCACCTCAGCCAGATAATCCTGTTCAGCCTACGGATAGATTAAACTTCTCATCTTCTATTATTACATTGTATTTTGAATAATTCATACAAGCAGCTAAGAGAAGACACAGATTTGTAGTATTAATTGCTACCTGCGTAAGGCAGTTAAACTTTTAGAGGTATTTCAAATGTCATTTTAAAGCCCAATTGCTGTCAGGGAGCAGAAAGAGCAGGTCTGCCCCACAAGGGCAGATGAGCCAGGAGCCAAGGATGACCAAAGAACAGGCTTACCTTCACTCATTACTTCCAGCACATGAGCCAGGTGAGCAGAGCCAGGAGCTGGTAGCAGGGTCCTTTGGTAGCTCCAGACCAACAAGCTTCAGAGCTACTTTCCAGGCAGTTGTTAGAATTGTTTAGATTATGCAATGATCTTCTCCTTGCTTAAAAACAAAAGTAATGTGATTATGTTTTGGTTTTTTTTTTTTTTTTTTTAGCAATTTAATTTATCTATTTGTCAGGGGTTTTTTTAAAATACTTTCATTATTGGCTTCTTGGGTAAAATGGCATTGTACAGCTATCTTTTATTCTTGTAAAATCTGTAGTTTTTAGTAGTGTTTAATGTAATAATTTGGGAAAAAAAGCACTGGATTGCATATAACTAATGTAATTATTATAAGACATTTTAATGAAGAATTTGATAGGAAGCAAACCTTTCCATTAGTTCTCAAAAGCTGAGAAGAGTAACAGCAATACTTTATTTTCAGTATATAGAAAATAAGTATTTGCATATTTTCTTATATTGAGTATTTATCCAACACAAGGAGATATTTTAACTTAAAAATAGCCACTCCTTATGTTAGCTATTTCTGAAAAAGCACATCACTTTCATCCACTCCCTGCTTTGGTTTTTCTTGAGAAATCCTGGAGACACAGACTTCCTGTGCTGTAATGCTTTCACTTATATTTGGTAAATCCTGCTGTCCCCTAGCACGCCATGTTCATTGCTGATACGTGGGAAGAACATATGCATTGCTTACTTTTTTCTTATGATACAGGCAGAACTGCTGCTTACCTAATGCCTGACTAGTCTTGAAGGTTGGGCTTCCACTGTCCTTAAGTATTGCTTCTGATTTCTGTAGCTGTAAAGAGCTTGGGTTTATATACATATAGGTCCAAAGATTTTTTTATATTTATAAACTATATGGTCTTTTGATAATCACCTAGGAAGTTATAAAAAGCAAAGAAATACATTCACATACAGAATCCATGCATACGTTCACAAAGCAGAATGCATGGCATTCTGTGCAGGGTACTGTTAGCATAGCTACGTATTCTTGAGGTCTAAGATAACTGTCTTGGCCTGTTTATTTATACAGTACCTTTTTCTTTTTCTGATGTTGTTTTGTTGTTGTTTTTTTTTTACAAGGATATATAGATGGAGTAACTTATTCAAATTAAAAAAACCCCAAACAACAATAAACAAAACAAAACCTAATTCTGTGTTTGGAGTTTCTTTCAATTAAATTATTTATATTTCCTGTCCTGTATGAATAATTGTAGTCACATAAGACTCTGATGTCTTCTAATTTTATGGAAATTTTAATTAAAAAAATATCCTGAGAAAGACCATTAAATACATCATTATAGGAAAACCAAACAAAAGCAAAAGTACTAAACTGTCACTTTGTAATCTGTAGGTTTTCATTTTAAGGCTACACCAATATAAAAACCAATTCATATAACACATTTCTGTTCTGATTCCAGCACCATGTGGCGGGCAGTATACTGGATCAGAAGGAGTTGTTTTATCACCAAGTTATCCTCATAATTACACTGCTGGACAGACTTGCCATTATTCAATAACTGTACCTAAAGAATTTGGTAAGAATTTCTTCTACTGATCTATCAATAAATAATCATTGTTCTACTGTTCAAGTGTCCTTCGTGTGTAACAGTGACCTTAGATTTTTAATTTATTACAAATTGCTTATAAAAAATAAATGAATTCTTGACACAGAAATTGATTCTAGGGTTTTGACCTTTTACTTCTCCCTAGAGTAATCAATAGACTTCAGCTAATCTATCTGTGTCTGCTATCCAAGCATATCCTGAATACTTCCATTGATTGCATCATTCATCATCATAGGATAATCATTCATTGAACCTTTCTACAAAGTAAAATCAGTTCTCAAAGAATGAGCATCAAGAGTTCTGTCACGTTTTAACTTTACATCACATTTAACAAGGACAGTTTTACATAAAAGTACCAGCAATGTTTGTGAAAAATCAGAAAGCTAATTAATTTCAAACAAAACTCTAATTCAAGTCCAGACAACTAGCAGTAAGATCTATTTTACCACTTATTTACCAGAAGACTGAATGCAAAACAATTTAGTACGTTTCGTACTTTCTCTACGCAATAAAACGTGTAAGGACTCAGCGTTTTTTTCACTGAGGTTTGGGGATCAAAGAACATTACAATAACTTTACTTCTAGCTGATAATAGCTTGCACAAAGGGTGCTGTTGCAGCAATGAAGACTAACTGCAACTGGGCTGCATTAGCAAGCATTAGTAGCCCTCAGGTTGAGAGAAGGTGCTTTTTCCCTCTTCATAGCCTTCATGAAGTAGCATCTACTAACTACGTCTATAGTTTTGTGCTTCCAAATTACAAAGCACAGAATGTTAAAATAGAACAAGCCCAACAGAGCCAGCAAGATGATTAGGAGGCTGAAGCACAGCACAAGGAAAAGTTGAAGGAAGTTCAACCTGGAGAAAATAAGTGAAGGAGGACCCTTCCTTCTGGAAGTATGCAGTTAGAGGACAAGTGGCCGTAGTCACAAGTTGTAGCACAATAAATTCCAACTGGACATAAGGAAAACATGCTTAACCATGATGGTGATTAAGTACAGGTACCTTGAAGAAGAATTTTTGCCAGTTTTCAATAATTGCTCAGAAAAAGACTTGAGCATCCTAATATAACTTCAAAGCTAGCCATGCTTTTAAAAATCAGTATGTTGGATTATGCAGTTGGTTTAAACAAAGAAAAGAAAAAAAAGAACTTGGCAAAAAGTTGGAAAATACAGTCTGTACAGAAATTGTGCTGCATTGAAGGCCCACGGTTTGCATACAGAATCTGGAATAGGTGTCATTTTAAAACAAGTTCCTTCCGAGACAATAAAATATGGCTGGATAGAATGCATAATATTTTTATTGACTTGATTTTACTGGTTTCTTACTTCATGCTTCTATTGCTATCTGATATTTGAATTCAGTGAACCATTTGATATTTACTAGTGAGACATTGTATAATTAAATGGGTTTTTTTGTTACAACGCTTTACTTACAGCTGAGGTGTGAATTACATATAGCAATATGTTAAACCTGTGAATACATTGATACCTTTAATGTTTGATAAGTGTTTATATTCTTTCTCATAAAGTAAGTACCAAAACAAAGTTACAAAAATTTCCAAATCAATAAGTTTCAAACTTACTCAGATTAAAGCTGGATAAGCAGCTAACCATTTGTGTCTACAGATGCTCCTTAGTAGTTGCTAAGGTTGGTAATGAAATTTGGGTTAAAACTTTCCCTTTTAGATACTCCATTTTCTTATTCTCATAGGTACCTATGCAATAAGGAAGAAGACTGGAAAGCGCACTTTTGGGGAAAGAGCGATTTAATCATCATCTTCTTTTTAATTAAAAATAAGGAAACTATTATTACTTATGTTTAATGTAGCTGTTTTACCATGGTAGACAATAAATTAACATGGAAAGGATTCATGCAGAAATCCACTGGCAATTAAGACAAGCGAAAAATGTGTCATTAAATTTGTTTTTAAAGATTAGGTTCTTGTTTTATCTTCTCCCTTTTTGCAGTTGTATTTGGACAGTTTGCCTATTTTCAGACAGCTTTGAATGATGTAGCAGAATTATTTGATGGAGAAAACTCTCAGGCTAGACTTCTTAGTTCACTGTCTGGATCCCACTCAGGTAAGTAATAAAGAAAAGAATTATGCATTTCTTATACAGCTCAGTATGGAAAAAGTAAATTAAAAGAACGTTATGAATTTCATTTGGAAATATAATAATAACGTCATTGTAACAGGATGTCAAGGGAAATGGAACACCATTTGAATCAAGACATTCTTTTGGAGCATGGTTTAGGCAAGACCTGATTACTGGGATGAGGACAGGAATAATTGAAGGAAATTCCCAGATCTTTATGCAAGAGGGTAGATTGGAAGGTACAGCTATCTCCTCTGTCCCTAAACTCTGTGAACTACACATCCACATTTTCTGAATGTCTAATTAGAAAGTTAGTAATGTAATACATGGTATGTGATCATGTATTTTATTGAAACAACTACATAAAATGAGTCATAGCTCTGCTAGCTCTCATTTCAGTTTTAGTCTTGAAATGGTAAACATCACATGAAGATTCTCTGTGGCGTTTTTCAAATAGTTTTAATTGTTCCACGTGTTTCATGAGGTAAGCTAAAGCTCTCAGTCACAAGAGGTTTATTGGAGCTCTAGTTCCAACAGCAGCAGTATATGTCAGAAAGTTTAAGTTGTTGAATCATTAAGTCTTATTCAGACAAGTTTTCAAACATCCAGTGGCAAATTTAATTTTAGAAACTGTTATTTATGTTTTCTTTAACTACAGAAGATAGTAGAAAACAGTGTATTTTAACACTATATTTGATTATTTACTGAGGAGTTGCATATTTAATTTATTTTCTGGTTTTGTTTGTAGGAGAGACACTGCCTTTGGCTACATCGAATCAAATTCTTCTGCGATTCAGTGCTAAGAGTGGGGCCTCAGCCAGGGGGTTCCACTTTGTTTACCAAGGTAAACATGTCTGCTTTTGGTCGAAGACACTGGTGCCAGTCTCACACAGTGATTATTTTTAGGTTTTCTTGGGTCTTAAAGTATTTCTTTAAACAAGGGTGTAGTCTTAATCTTTTTCCAGGCATAAGGACTTCTCCTGATGACAGCCTGTCTTCATAATGGCAGTTGTCTCTGGTGAATCCTATCTGGCCCCATCGGATTGAATGTGTCCAACCTCTCTCAGTAGTCTCTTTTGTTGCTCCCTAACTGCTGAGTGTCATGTTCCTCCTCAGGCTGTAGAAGTACATAATTGGGACCGTGAAGGCAAAGCAAAAAAGGCATTTAATATTTAAGTATTTTCTGCAGCATTTGTTAGTAGGTTGTCCACTCCGTCCATCCTCTCTGCCGCAATGCATCAACATACCCATGTATATTTTTAACTTCCTTTTATAATTAGCATATCTGTAGACTTTTTCCCTAATGTGCTTTTCTAGTTTTTGCTCCAGTTGGACTTGGACTTTCCTTATTTTTGTTTCTAAGTAACTGAGCGATACTGTCATACTCCTGATTTATAACGTGTCCTTGGCTCCATTTGTGCTATGTCCCCTTTTGTGTTTATATTGTTTGAAAATCTCGTGGTCTAGTCCTGCAGGCTTTCTGCCAAAATTTCCAGTCTTCCTTCACAATGGGATAATTTGTTCCAAGGCTCTCAAATCTCTTAAAGAAAAAAAAAAAAAAAAAAATATCACCAGTATCCTTGCCCTCCATGCCTGTTCCTTAGGAGAGTCTATCTACGAAATTAATGACTCTGACAAAATCCACTCACCTTAATTCCAATCTTCTGCCAGTTCCTCAGCTTCATAATCTTGCAGTCCTTGCAGCCCAAGCTGGCATCTGTATCCACATCCACAAACAGCTCTTCCCTGTTGGTGAGCAGGTAGCCAGGTTGTAGCTACTTGATTTAATTATCTCGTAGAATTCTCTATTAAATCTAGCCAGTGTTTTGCTTGACTAAAATGAGAGGGGACTTGTTTTATAAAGCTGTTTTCTCAACGCAGTCACTACTGCATTCAGTTTTGAGCAAAAGGAGATACACATCTTTATTGAGTTAAATGTACATTGCTAGACTGCTATGGACCAGAGGAGGAACATATTTGATTTCTGTTAAAAGCCAGATTTCTCTGAGATGGAAGCAAAAACATGCCACATGTATATTGGTTAATGAGTTAGTGGTATTCAATAAGCTCTATCATTCTGAGATTTTTCTTTCTTCTCTTGGAGCATGTGATCATACGTCCAGTAACTGCGTGCTTGCTAGCCTTTTAAATACTCCGGAGAATAACATCCATTCTCAAACTGAACACAGTAATCTGGCCTGCGAAGTCAATCATTTTATTTATCATCCTCTGTTCCAGGTTGACCTTCTTCCCTGTTCACTTTTTCACTGGGCTGCTTCCAGTTTTGTTTCACAGTGCTATGAAACATTTAGTAAATGATGGAGAATAATTACTATAGAAAATTGAATGTTTCTGTGATACAGCTTGAGAAGTCTAGGTTGCCAAAGCTATAGGCAAAAGCTACAAGGAAGGCTGGAAGGGAAAAAAAATGTTGCTTGCATTGTTTCACATTCTGGTTTGAGCAGGCAACCAATAAGTTTGTAGGTTTTGGTTCAGATTTAATGGCTTTTGCACTGACACTTCCTCAAAAACTTTTTTTTAGCTGCATATGTTATCTGTGCCTTCATTTCTTTTTCTGAGATGACCACATTTCCTTGTATTTCATACAATAGGTAAAGAGTATCTGTAATATCAGACTTAATGGATATTCAGCCTTTCAGAATATTAGGGTCAAGTATGTTGACACATACTAGGAACAATCTCGTTTAAGAAGATTGGAAATTACGGTTTTTCAGGCTTATCTTATGCTTGTTTTTCTGCTATGACATCTCCTAAGAAAACAACAGCATATATTTTCATTTGGCTGAGGCTGCAGCTGTACAGACTTCTTTCCCTGGAAAGCAAAATGTATGGGTTTTTAATGTTTAGCTTCCTTTACTTGCTCTACCATACAAATACATGAATTAGTTTATGAGGTCAAATGAGATTTTAAAGAGGACTATTAAAAAAGTCAGCATACTAGGAGGAGGAAGGACTGTGGAAGAAACACAAAGGGGAACAACAATAAGGAAGGAATGTGACTTTAACCATTAAGTTGATCTAATCTGCAGTAAGAATAAAATACATAGATACACACTTACTGCTAGAGTGTAATTAGAGAGCAGAACTAAGACTGTTAGTATTATTTTCCATATGTGTTACCATGACACATTATGTCCTGGTTTACAACAGTCTTCCTAGAGAAGTAGTTAATGCCCCAAGTCTGTCAGTGTTCAAGAGGCATTTGGGCAATGCTCTTAATGACATGCTTTAACTTGGTCAGCTCTGAACTGGTCAGGCAGTTGGAGTAGATGATTGTTGTAAGTCCTTTCCAAATGAAATAGTCTATTGATGTAGAGGCACTTCAGCTGGGCTGTTGGCCATGTTGCCTTTTACAGGAATATACCTATTTTCCTAAATTTTATAGATATTTGAAACTGTTTTGCCTTTTGCCATGGGAGTATGGTATGGGAGTACCTTACTTTGTTACCATGTCTGGCTTGCATTACATTTATTCTTACATTTATTCTTACATTTATTCTTACATTTATTCTTAAAGCAGTTCTTAGGAAAAAAAAAAAAGCATTTGAAAATGTTTTATTTGTGCATCTTTAGTATTTCTTATGTCACTGTAACCATTAATACACTATTATTAAAACCTGTGAAAAAATGAACAAAATGTGAACTTTAATGTGACATTGAGTGTTTCCTGCTGCAACAGATTAATATGACACAACTCCAGACATGGATGTTTGTGGCTGCCATGGCTGTTTTACTCACTGGCTGCTATCAGTATAATGGTGGCTTTCAGTCTGAAAAGGAAGCTATAATGGCAGAGATAGCTTGCTCACAGGAAAATAACTTTCACAAGGCAGTATTATAATGAAACCAGATGATTTAACCTTCTTTGTTGAGAGGTGCTGAAAATATTAGTGACACACACACAAAAAAAATCCATTTGGATTGCAAATGCATGTATGCAAATGACCAGCTGTGATTACTAACAATTACAGGATATTATTTAATTTGATTCTTAATAAGGGTCCTTTGCCTTTGCACAGTTGTTTTAGGGATTCTCCAGGTGAGGGTTAGAGAAAGAATTTTCTTCTGCAACTTCCTTCCTTTTGAGGAAGTGGGTGAAAAAAATGAGAAAGGTAGGATTCCCATAAAAGTTTATTCCATACAGTGAATGAAAAATACTTGAGGAGTGGTCTAGGTCATGTAGCCTTTTAGGAAGATAGGTAAAGTTTAGACTCCTGTAAAGCTGAAAGTTAATTAGCTGGGGGCTGTAGTAGTGACCTATGTGGGAGGAGGCCATGCACTACCATATAGCACTCACAAACAGCTTCCTCCAAAGCTGGTATAAACATCTTGAACATGCCAAAACTTCTACCAGTCAGAGGAGCATGTAATGCCTGTTCTCAAACATGTTTGAGAAAGTGACAACTAGTTTGGGCCAGAGATACTTCTGGGTATATGCTACTGGAGATGTTGTTGGAGGGATTGTTGGAGACACACTCCTGGAAAGAGGCCCTCCATGCTGAAGGGGTAGCTCTTCTAAAGGGTCTGTGACCTGTGGGTAGCACATGCTGGAGTGACAACACCTCAGAGAGGTTGATGGCCTGTGAAAGACCTATTTTGTAGTAGTGGGACATCTCTGAGCAACTGCAGCCCATGGGTGACCCATGCTGGAGCAGGAACAGCTGGAGCAGGAACACTAAGAAACAGAGTGACATGAAAACTTGAAGAAGTAAAAATCAGGACAGAAAATAAGTACAATGCTAAGTACATCAGAGAAAAACAAACGAACAAAAAAAAACCAAAAACCAACTCCAAGCCCACAAAACCCAAAAATAGAGCATGACCCCAACCTCCTCTGCTGCTTCTCACCTCAGTGGTGATGGACACAATAAAGTTGAGAGAAGGAAGGGGGAAGATTGGTGTGTGACTGAAGCTGAGCCTGGGCAGATGGAAGAAAAGCTGTTTACTTCAGTGAGTCCTCTTTCTTCTTAACTCCTGTATAGGTGATCACGGTTTGTGTTAACTGATAATAAATTAAATTAAGCATAATTAAGTAGGAATTCCCTAAAACAAAACTGGTTTGTCCACAACAATCTATTGAACCTGTTGCTACCAGGTGATTGCAAGTGTTTCATTACATGACCCAAACTGCCATTTGAGCAAGTAGTCCTGACCAAGAGATGGATTAATGACTAATCACGTGGCAGAAGCTGTACTTGTAGGCATATGACAGTCATGTGACTGGATGTGTGTGCTGCCATCATCATCTAGTCAGTTGTAAAGTCATTATACATTTAAAAAAAAAAAACAGTTTTTAATAAAATAGTGCTTGCCTGGTGGGCCATTTGGTAGAGAAAAGGCTATTGGTCCCAGTAAAAGAGAAACAAAAAAGAGTGTAATGGGTCAGTTGAATTCACCTGGCAGACTGCATCCAGTCTGCAGGTTGCAGTCATGAGGAACTGTGACTGTGTGAAATCCTTGAACTATGGTTTCTTCATTATTCTTCCATAAGTGCAGAACAATTTCCTGCCGTGGTTAGAAATGTAAGCATGAACAAGTTTCACAGAGCAGCTGGCTGATACTGAGATTCTGTTGAAAACTTAAGCACAAAGTTCTATTTATTTGAACAAAGGGAAGTGGTTTGTTTATACTGTGTGTTCAACAGTGTAACAGGTGTGTACGTATTGTATGTAAGGCTGTAAAATAAAATTAAATATAACCATGACTCTGTTTACACTAGTCTTAAAACAGGTTAGCAAGCCAGAAACATTATGTTTGAAAATCTGCCAGGAATGAAGTCCAAACACCTCCCCCGCTTTTTTTTAGTTCTTGTGTCTTTGTTAATTAAGAACCAAATGGCAGGCAATTTTCATGATGCTACTTGTTCATATCCACATGCAGTGGTCCCCTGAAACTAATTCTTGAAAAAAAAACCTGAACAAACTGAGCTTTTGAACATGCCACTTACACATGAAAAGTTGCTTATATTTGATGTTTTTTTAAATGTAAATTTATTTTATTGTAATGTAAAACATAGCTGATATTGCACACAAATTAGACTTCTACCATCTTTTCTATAAATAATATTTTTTTTAAAGTTGGCATTTGGTAGGTGAGTGCAAAATGAAAAAACAAGTTTGATACAGGAACAACATGCATAATACCAATAGTCAGTAAGTACAAAAAAAATGCCTGTTATAAAGAAGTGGTTACAAATAACAAAGCTAAAGGGAAAATAAACCCATGGGCTTATAATGAATTTTATTATTTTGCTCTTTAAACGTTGCTTGCAGTCTTTCAAATGTTCTTGTATCACATCAGGTTTATGAATTCTCAGAAGTTATTGGTAAAAATAATTGGTGTCAATTGTAAACACCAAAATAACCTTGAGGGTACGTTGTTATCACTTTGTGTTCTCCAACATGATAAATCAAGTATTTGTATAACATTACTTTGGATTTATATGCTTATCTGTATTATAATATTTTTCTTGGCTTCTAATGAGAAACTTCCAATGAGAAGCCAAAACTTCCATATTTAATAAGTAAAATAGGTGGTAGGTATAGTATCCTGTCATTAAAGAAGGCAGCTGAAATGCCCGCTGTTCCTCTCGTGCCTAAGGATGCGCTCCCAAAGTCAATTGCCCTCCAAAGTGCCGTGGCACTCACATGACCGTACATGGTTGCAGTCCAAGACCACAGTCCAGCTAACAGCTGTGAAATCATGAGGCCATGCTTTGAAAATACAGGAGCAGAGCAAGTAAAAGGAAGAAAATCAATTAAGCTCTGTCCTACAAGAAACAAAAAGCATTTTTAGTGGTCTGTTCATTTGCTAGACAACTGTCTTTTGGATTCATGGCATCTTTTTGTTGTTGTTTTTTTTCCCCCTCTCTTTTTCTGCAGCTGTTCCACGCACAAGTGATACCCAGTGTAGCTCAGTTCCAGAGCCTAGGTATGGAAGGAGAATCGGCTCTGAGTTTTCAGCAGGTTCTGTTGTTCGATTTGAGTGTAGTCCTGGCTATCTGCTACAAGGCTCAAAAGCCATCCGATGTCAGTCTGTACCTAATGCCTTAGCTCAGTGGAATGACACAGTACCAAGCTGTGTAGGTAAGCAATTACATTTAAGTCATCTGTCCTGTCACAGATATCTCTGAATCAGAATTCAGGAACTGTTTCAGAAAATAGTAGTTAACACATATTCACTCTCCTTCGATTAATGTCAGTCATGCCCAATTTAAAAGAGCAGTTTTCCGTATAAAAAACTAATTGAGTACCAGCTGGCTGGTAGGCAGTATAGTGTTTTGTATAATGACTTAGATTATATGAACAAGTGTGATGCACATTTTCTTGAACATTTGTTATTTTTGTGACTCATCTACAGCTTGAAATACAGGACAGATTTTACTTCTCCAGAAGTGTCTTTACCTGTTTTGTTCCACAGTACTTGTATCACACATAGGATGATGGTTTCTTTTTCAAGTAGAAGCAAAGTGTACATTGTTAAATATAGCTAAGATTCTTTAATTTGTTGATAGATCTGCAGTGGGATAATGTTTAGCACTTCAAATTTTATTTTTGTTTGTAAAAGTTGCAATGTTTTCTTGTCTCCTTCCTTGGATTATCCAAAAGTCAAAAAGTCATCAGACTTTATTATTAGAGTGTTCTAAAAAGAAATGTAGGTATCCTATTTTCTGTGTGTTCTGTTTCTTGTTTAGTTTAGTTCTGTTTTCTTGAACTTTAAGGAAGCAATTGCATATATAGTAAGAATATTTAATATGCCACACTGCTTTACCAGCTAGATCCAATACTGGAACTTAAGCTGTGGGAAAGTTCACATGATTTCTGTCAATCATGACTATGTGTAATGTTAAGTCTTTACAGTTTTTTGTTGCTCTCAGGTAGGACATGATTAAGCTGTGTCTGCTAGACTGCATGCCCTCAAAATGAAGTTCAGTTCTGAACTGTTTATTCATGAAGGTTGTATTTTATGGTTGATATCGTTAATGTATTTTAGATAACTGCTTTCTAAGTTCACATCATTGCTTTATGTCTGTTTATTCTACAAGAGATTATAGTTAGTTTAATAAAATTTTTACTACATTTCTGTACTCTGAAGTGGTTTAGGTTTTGTAATAATGCATGATAATACTTTCTTTCAGTGCCATGCAGTGGGAATTTTACCGAGCGGAGAGGTACTATTCTTTCACCAGGTTACCCTGAACCTTATGGTAACAGCTTGAATTGTGTGTGGAAAATCATAGTGACTGAGGGATCAGGTATTCAGGCAAGTCTCTATTCTGTCAAGCATGGAATATTAAATACTTTGTGGTTCAGTTTAAAAAGTAGCTGTTCATTTCTCAGAAGCATCAGAAATCAGTAAGATAATTTTTGGGAGTACTTGAAATATTTGTGCATTGTTTTTCTCAGTGTTGCTCTTTGGACAGCTTTATTCTATGTTACTTTATTTTTACATGGGAGTGTGAATGAGAAGTGGTTAACAAGCAGCTTTCTCTTCTAACTGTGTAGAATATTGAAAGCAGGTCTTGATCCTTCAATCTAGTATTCAATTGCCAACCCTTTCTATCTGCTAGAATATTGCTGAGGCACTTGAGACGTCTGCAACTCTCTTGATTATCTGCTTATTTACACTTTGTATAATTATTTATATTTATGGAACATATGTGAAAAATTCTTTTTACTTACCTGGTGTCATATTTTCTAAAAGTTAAGATGACTTAAAAAGTGAACGTTAATGTTTTATTTACATTTCTTCACTTAGGTGTTCTTGTTTGGATCTGCTTATTTATATTTTCTTTGGGGCATGTTCTCTTTTTTATTTTTCTAGAACTAGTTGGTTAAAAAGTTCTGTGGTGGTGTTTTACAGATCCAGGTCATCAGCTTTGCCACTGAACATAATTGGGATTCTCTTGAAATATACGATGGTGGAGATATGACAGCACCGCGTCTTGGAAGCTTTTCAGGTGAGTATATGCCATGATTTAAAGGTACAGTTCTATATATGGCAGTTTGAGAGAATATGTCTTTGCCCACACATATAGACAAGAGTATATTTGTATTGCTTCGTTTGTGGTATCATTATGAAATGTTCTCATTGGTGAGGGATTTTCAGGTGCTGTAAATGTGTCAATATTTAAATTCAAAAAGAAATTTTCAGAAGAAAATCTGTTACCGAAGCATCCAGCTTTGATTAGTGGGATTGAGGTGATGATGCTTTCAAAATACTTCTTTCTTTTATATTACCTACGCCTCCCATAGAGAATATACAGTGATATAAATTTGTAGTGACATTCAAGGATGTCCTTTGGTACATTTGACTTAGTTTATCTTTGTTAGCGTCCCTTTCTCAGGAAAGAGATGAAGCATTCAGTATTCATCTAAACTCACCAGACCTCGGAGAACAAAATGAATTACTACAATTGGGAGATAACAAACCATGTAATTTGTTGTTTCACATATATATCAGGGATATATAGTTTTATTCCTCTTTATAAAACATTTTTTTCTAGAAAGAGCATGTTATGTAAACCAAAGCAAGAGGAAGAGATATCTCATATAAGATTAAGTTATGAATAATACCCTAGAGCCATGAACTCTGTCACAGCCTGGTCCGATTACGGTATAGCTAAAGTATTTTGTGGCATTTTGCCTCTCTGGTGACTTCACAAACTTTTAAAATACAGATGTATATTTGATTCTGTAAAGAAATGAATGACCAACTGAAAAAATAACCTGATATTATTTATTTGGATATTGAACTAAATAATTTGTGTTGTCGGTTAACCCTAGTAGGCAGCTGAGCCCCACTCAGCTGCTTGCTCACTCCCACACAGTGGAATGTGGGAGAGAATTGGAAGGGTAAAGGTGAGACATCTTGTGGGTTGAGACATAATAGGTAAAGCAAAAGCTGCTCACACAAGCAATGCAAAACAAGGAATTAATTCACCACTTCCCATGGGCAGGCAGGCAGGTGTTCAGCCATCTCCAGGAAAGCAGGGCTCCATCATGTGTAATGGTTCCTTCGGAAAAGAAATACCATAAACTACCAATATCCCACCTTCCTCTTATGTCCCCCAGCTTTTATTGTTGAGCTTAACATCATATAGTATGGAATGACCCTTGGGTCAGATGGGATCAGTTGTCCAACTGTGTCCACTCCCAATTTCTTGCCCACCCCCAGCCCACTTGCTGGTGAGAAACAGAGAAGGTCTTGATGCTGTGTAAGGCCTTGACTGCTTAGCAATAACTAAAACATCCCTGTGTTATCAACACTGGTTTGGTTACAGATCCAAAGCAGTCTCATACCATCTACTATGAAGAAAATTAACTCTGTCCCAGCTAGACCCCATACAAAAGGCTATATTAAAATGTGCTGTGGGTTAACCCTTTTAGACAGCTTAATTATATTAAATGCTAGTATCTATGCTGTATATTGGCAATAAGGAAGAAAGAAACTATGAAATGTAATCAGCTTTTACAAGTCAAATACGTGGCAAATATATTGGACCCCTTGGATAAAGAACTAATGAAATAATCCATTTAACAATATTCCATTTAGCAATACTCAATACTCAGAACACTTATTCTATACTAAAAGTGGCATTTTGCTTTATTTTAAAAGCCTTACTGATTTCAAGGGAAACTGAAAAAGTTTTTTGTGTTAATATATTTCATTGAAGATATAGAGTAGTACAGCTACACTGTGGATTTATCTGTTTTGTGTAATGAGTGTCAGACATAAAATGAAGAATTATTTTGTGTATAGGAATGACCTAATGAAGAATATTTAAACATGACGTGAAATCTGTTGTTCTCAAAACTGAAACAGTAATGTGACATTGAAACTGAATTCCAGGCATAATTTCATAAGTGGTAAAATTTAGAAGGTATCATTTCTGTCTTTCTGTATCTTATGTAATACCATTGTCTTCTGATTCACTTTCTGTGAATTCATGTCTTCTAAATATGCATTCAAGAATCACAGATGTAAAAGTAATTACTAATAACTTTAATAAGTTTGTGCTGCTAAACTGTGTCACAGAGTTGATTTGGGAAGGTGAATTCACTGGAGTCTGTTTCTTAAGGAAGACTTCACAAAGAGAGATAACTATACCATTTCCCTGTGTCAGAGCACAGCGGGGGCCAGCAGCTCCCTGGGTTTGGGGTGCCAGGAGCAACGGGGGGTCCCTGTGATAGCAGGGCAGGCCCTGGTAGCCAGGGCCCATCCCACCACCTCAGCCAGAGCAGGGCAGCTGGAGGGCACCAGGGTAGTCCCAGTCCTGGGATTTGACATCTCTCTGGGGACTGGAAGAGGCAGAGGCTGAGCCCATGGGTGGGCCTGTCTCGGCAGGCCCCGTGGCCAGGCAGGGCAAGCTGTGGGGATCTGGAGACTGTCTCCGCTGCAGTGTTGCTGGGGGAGGGGCTGATGGCCTCAGGGGCTAAAATGAGGTCCTGGCCCGTTGGCGGGGTGGGAGCAGGCCCCAGGGAGCTGGGCAGGACAGTAAGGACTGTCTGCTAGAGCAGTCTGGGCTTCTCCTTTTCGGATTAATCCTGTGGGTCATCTTTTATCAGTGAATGGCAGAAACATCAGGGCATTTTTCTTCTTTTTATGCTATAGTAATATTTCTGGTGTGAGGATGCTATTTTAGGGGAAAGTGATAGGGGCTTCATAAATAAAGCTAAAAAAAAAAATAAAATCCTGAGACCATGTGTTAACAGACATAAAGATAGTGTGTGTTGCTGTCTTCCTGGTGGTGGAATACATGATTTTTGTACAACCATCTTGGAAAGAAGCTTCTGTGGATAGAACTGATGTGTTGAATGCCAAGAGGGATTTCCTCCAAGAGTGCTCTTGTGGCATGCGATGGAAAAGTGAACCAGTTATTTTCCTGTGCCTGATATTGACGGGAGAAGCCTGTTGGTGGGCAAACCGATTCTTTTCAAGACACAGTTTTCCAGATGACAATAGACAGTGTCGAGAGACATTCACAGTAATTGGAAATCTATACATTATTTTTGCTTTCAATATTACTGGTTCATCAAAGTAGTGCTTGTGGCTCATGGGGAAATGAAAATAACATTGCCTTTGAAAGACAGCTATCAAAATAATTCCTCAGCCTTTTACAATAGTTGCTGTACCATTTCCAGAGCATATCTTAGGTATAGCAGATTTTTGATTAATGAATGATGTTAAGTTGCCTTACCAAATGCTTGAATGAAACAGGATCATTAATGAGAGTTAATTCTTTTCATACTATTACTGATCATTTTACAATGAGTAGACATGTTTCCAAGTTTACATAATAATAATGTTGTACCTGGAATATTTTAATAAAGTTAAAGGCTATTTGCACAGATCAAGATCAACTCTTAATTCTGTCAGTTGGGAAGGTCACAGTTTTTATAAATTTACTATATTCAGGAGGAAAAAAATAAAAAAAAAAAAGAAAAAAAGCCATAACTAGAAAACTAGAATTTATTTTTCTCCTGCAGAAGTACTGTACTTCATTTTTCATTTGGAAAAGTGATTTAAGTTCCCTGTTTTTTGGTAGCCATTCTGCTTTCCAGAAGGAAGCGAATTTATTCAAAAATATGATGTTAAAGACAAAAACAGTTTTGTTAAATGATAATCAGGTTATCTGCCTGTTAAGTTTACCACATGTCTGATCTTCATGCTTGTCCTTAACAGCTGTAATCGCTTATTTTCCTCTTCCTCAATCCAATATAGGCATCTTCTTTCCAAGGATATTTTTTTTCTTCTAAAGCCTGAATTCATTTTCAGACTACAAAATTGTCAAGTGAATTTAGAGAGACTTTGTTCTTATAGCTTAGTAATGGCAGTTCTTACATGAAGCCTGTCCACTAAGCCAGAAACGCAAAAAGACTTGTAAAATTTGGATAACTGTCAGGCATCCCATGAGTATTTGTAAATATGCTGTGCTGCCAATTGTGACACAGAATGGAATTATGTAGAGAGTGAAAATTCCTTGGATGAAAGGACAGAAAGGCTTTCATCAGTATGCCAAAGTGAAGTCTGCCCTGGACTCCTTAGTAGAGGTTATAGAAATAGTAGCTGAGTGCAAGGATATTCTTGACAAACACGTTGTTTTTTCTTGGGAGGATTAAGTCTGAACTTAGGTCAGACGTAATTTTGCGTAATACACAGAAATGAACAGAAAAGTGGAAACGAACGAAAAATGAGCAGTATTTTAAAATTTCTAGTTTGGACCTGGTGCTTCATTTGACTGTGGTACATTCAGACTGAAAGGGACTATTTATACCTACAGCTCCATTTAAAATTGGGAATGCAGATAATACCTGACATTCTTTTACATATGTATATGTACTTAAATATGCCTGTATGTGAGTAGAGACATACACAGAGAGAGTATATAAATACAGTAGTCATTGAAGTTGGCATCTAGAGAATCTACTTTTATGATGGTATTTAAATTTAGAAAGAAACTAGTTAAGAATCTTATCCATGCTCTACATATGTGCTAACCCAAGAAAGGCCTAAAATGACCATTAATCTCCTAGAAATTACCTTTTCATACATGCAGTGTGGTGTTCTGCTCTGGAATAAGATACATTGCTCTTGGTTGTCACTGCTAATGCTTGAAAGGGATAGAGAACATAATTTTCTACAATACTGTCGTTACTAAATATTAAGTAGAAAACTTGTCCTCATTCCCTTGTAAGCCTTTAGGGAGGCAAACACGCACTTTACTGCTTTCTAGGAGAGTTCCCTGTTTTCCAGATTACAGATTGATTAGGGTGAAGAAATCAATCAGACTCTGGAATCCTAATACGGTATCCATCTATGTGAGTGTTAGACGTCTACCATGGAGATACCTACAGCTAAGCTATTAGTCATAAAATCTGCATCTGCCCTTTAAGTACTGTTTCTCTCTGTTGACAGTAAAGGAAATCCAGAACAACTAGGGTAGTGTAGCCACTACATCTGGTCAGCAAACTAAAATTTACCTTCCATGTTTCATATACCCAATCCCAGAAGAAGCAGATGTTGGCAAACGATCAAGAAAATTTCAGTTAGGTCACAGAATCATAGAACAGGGCAGGTTGGAAGGGACCTTGAAAGATTATTTCATCCAACTTTTTGCAGCTTTTCAGTTCTTAAAAGGGACCTATGAGAAAGACAGGGAAACACTTTTTAGCAGAGCCTGTTGCGACAGGAGAAGGTGTAATGGTTTTAAACTAAAAGAGGGAGATTCAGGTATGATGTGAGGAAAAAGTTCTTTACAATAAGGGTGGTAAAATACTGGCACAGGTTGCTCAGAGAGGTGGTAGATGGACTATCCCTAAAGATATCTAAGGCGAGGCTGGATGTGGTTCTGGGCAGCCTGATCTAGTTGGAGATGCCCCTGCTCATTGCAAGGAGTGCTGGACTAGATGACCTTTGAAGGTCCCTTCCAAGCCAAACTATTTTATGGTTCCTGTGAGAAGCAGATCCTAGATGAGGTTGTCCAGCACTGTCTAGTTGCATCTTGAAAATCTCCAGTGATACCAACTTACTACCTCTGTGGGGAGATTGTTTCAGTGACTGATTGCTCTCACTGTAAAAAAATACCTTTCTAAGGTTGAGATGAAATCTCTCCCAGTAGATCTTGGACCTGTTACCCTCGTCTTTTCCATGTGCTCTTCGTAGTTGCCCTTTAAGTACTGGAATACTATGATGAAGTCCCCCTCTCAGCCTTCTCTTATCCAGGGAGAAGAGATGTAACTCCTTCAGCCTGTCCAAATAGGACAGGTCCTCCAGCCTTATGATCATCTTCATGGCTCTGCTTTGAACCCTCTCTGTCTGTACGTGTCTTTCTTGAATTGTGAGGACCAGAACTGGCCACAGTACTGCAGATGCAGCCTGGCAAGCACTGAGTGGCATGATCACATACCTACCTCTGCTAGTAATGCCCCTCTGGATACAGCCCAGGAACCTGTTTGCCTTCACTGCTGCAGCAGTGCACTGCTGACTTATACTGAGCTTGTTGTCCACTGAGATTCCCAGGTCTTTTTCTGCAAGGCTGCTCCACACCCACATAGATCCTAGCCTGTACAAGGCTCTTTGGATATTTCAACTCAGGTACAGGAGTTTTCACTTGTCTTTGTTAAACTTCATACCCTTCTAGCTAGCCCAGTCTTTCAGCCTCTCCAGGTCTGTCTGTAAAATAGCTGACGTGTCAACCTCACATGTCATCAGCAAACGTGGTGAGGGTGCTTTCAATCCCAACATCCAGATCATTTACGAAGATGTTGAAACATTTGGGGGGACCTGTATCAGTGCTTGGGGGGACCCCATTTGTGACAGGTTGCTGGCCTAAACTGTGCCATCGAATGTGGCAATTATGAGAATTAAAAACTCTTATCCTCATTAATTTCTCACAGTACAATAAGATATAATTTCTCATCTTATTGAATATCACCTTCTAAGGAGGTAAAAGTGTGATGTTAAACGTTAGTAGGTCCTACAAAGGAACAGAACTGCCAGAAGAGCAATTTTGTTCAATGAAAAGTATAATTCTGAGACATCATCCTCATTCTTACAGAACAGACACCTTAAACATCCTTAAATGTATTTCAAATTCTGTATGGATACTGTGAAAAGTCCTCCCTCCAGGAAGATGTTTCACTATTTACTTTATCCCATGGTGAGTATTGTGTGATGTGAATGCTGTGTACGACTGTCTGTGAATTTCCATCCTTGGAGCTTCCTTACCAGACAGTAAAATCTTCCTTAAAGGCCAATTTGTCATCATTTAGCTCCTTACCATTTATATCAAGATTTTGCTTAATATAGTTTTAGATTTAAAAGTATTTATACCATTTCCTAGTTTAGACTGTAGGCTTAGGAGGATAATTCTTTCCAGCATTTCTTTTTATGTCCAAGTTTCAAGCTTATACCTAGGCTGCTCACAGTTACTATAGAAACAGCAAATGCCCCACTGGAAATGAAAATATTTCTTATGCAGTCACTGTTGAAATTCATTAGCTACTTGATACTGTCTTTGAGGGTAATCATAGAAAATGATGTAATTTTTAGCCTCAGTAGAAGTTCCAGCTTTAGACTGTGGGATGTTTTGTCGTAGTTGTGTGGTAACAGAAAATGTTGTTTCAGACTTAGCAATGCTAGTGGCAAAGAATGTGTCCAGGGTTAGTGATAAGCTTGTTGTGTGGCACACAATTTTATTATAGTTTTTTATTATAGTGACAGAAGTCAGTGGCACAAAATTTTATTATAGTTATTTGAACTGAATAAGGCTAGAGTGTATTTTGTTGTTTTTTTTTTTTAAATGTGTTGCACCTGCTTCTTTCCCGTCATACCCTCAGAATTAAGATAAGTGGTTGAAATATTACTGTGGGAAGAAGGAGTGGAGCAGACACAGATAAAAACTCTGGACTGATCTGTACTGCAGTTTTTTACACGTGGAAAAAAGTCAAATACAGTTGAACTTGTTCCATAATCAATCCTTTACTTACCTGTTTATGCGTATTTTTGCTGTCCAAGTCAATAAGTTTCATCTGAACATGATGGGATCTTGTTTGATTGTACTTACGTAGCCTCTTAGTATCATGACTGGTAATCAGAATTTTCTTGCAGCTTCAGGAGAAAACAAGACAGAATATTTGAGATTTCTGTGCACATAATGAGAAGAAAATGAACCTGTCTGATTCAGTCCTGGTTATGTCTTTTCAGTATAAAACTCTGATATATCAGTATGCTACAGTTTATTCCGTAACTTTTCTTTCTCCAGGTACAACTGTGCCAGCATTGTTAAATAGTACCTCCAATCAACTTTACCTGCATTTTCACTCTGACATTAGTGTGGCAGCAGCTGGTTTTCACCTGGAATACAAAAGTAAGACTGCTTCTCTTTTGAAACTTTCTCAGGTTTTTCCTGCATATGCAAAAGGATACAGAGACTTTATATTGTTCTTTTGGTTTTGTTTTCTTTGTTATTCCCTGACTACCAAAGTCTACTCCACATGAACTTGATATATGTCATATGCATTCAACTGAAATTTTAAATTAAATGACATTTGAAATTGCTGAAAAAACAGCATTCCCAAATTAGTAGTATATTACAAATCAACCTGGCAATTCAGAACATCATTTTAAAAATGTGAGGTTTAATTGTGGGGAGGAGGGTGTTCAATTTATTTCAACTTAGTTCTGAAATTTAGGTAACAAAGTAAGAATTAGTTTCACTACTTGGAAATAGATAAAACCAGAACAGATAGCATGTTCTTTTCTTATTTGTATGTGCATATATTTATTCCTTGATGTTCTTCCCTTGCCTTCGGAGAAAGTTGGGACTGTTCGGCCTGGAAAAGAGAAGGCTGCATGGAGACCTCATAGCAGCCTTCCAATATCTGAAGGGGGCCTACAAAGATGCTGGGGAGGGACTCTTCATTAGGGACTCTAGTGGTAGGACAAGGGGTAATGGCTTTAAACTTAAACAGGGGAACTTTAGGTTAGATATAAGGAAGAAGTTCTTCACAGTGAAGGTGGTAAGGCACTGGAATAGGTTGCCCAAGGAAGCTGTGAATGCTCCAACCCTGGAGGTATTCAGGGCTGGGCTGGACAGAGCCTTGGGTGACATAGTTTAGTGTGTGGTGTCCCTGTTTATGGCAGGGGGTTGGAACTAGCTGATCTTAAGGTCCTTTCCAACCCTAACTATTCTATGATTCTATGATTCTATGATTTTACCTCAACAAATTGCTGTAATTGAATAAAAAAAAAAGCACCACCATTATAATCCCAGAGCTACAGAAAGCATGACAGTTCTCTTGGTAAATCACTGGTGGTATGAGCAGAATAACCTAGAGAAGTTTAATGGCTAATTCTGCTATATATCAACTTTTAATACGTTTTGTGAGCAGCTTGGTGCTAAAATACAGTTGTTTGGTGTTATAAACATCAATAGATTACATCACATAATTATTATAATTCAAACAAGCACATTTGTATTCTTACTTCTCTCAAAACTTTAAATACTATGGAATAATAGTAAATTCAGCACATGCGCTTGCAAGGAATTGCTTTTAACTGGAAGTAGGTATTGCTAAGAATATTCTAGTCTAAAAAAATTGTGTGATGATGGGTTAACAGTCTGATGAATGCTTTGATGAAGGCCACAAAGTAAATCCTCTTTGTTTTTTAATATGAGCATACTCTATTTCCTTACAAAGAGCACTCAAGAATTTTATCGAAAAATTTGTTTGCTTTCATATTACATGTATTCCAATATTAATGTCTAAAACTGTTATTGTTGTTATTCATCTTTTTTAAGAATTACAAAGAAGTAAATAAAGACATGAATGATCCTAATAAGCTCTTTTTAGGATTTAGATTAAAAATTAGAAATAAAATATAAATATGTGCAGAATTTTGAAAGACTCAATTTTCATCTCATAATAAATATTTTAAATTAGACATAATTGACATGGTAGTCTTATGTTTTAATTTAGTTTCCTGCTTATTTGAAGCATTTTCATTACTATGTTGTAGATATTTTTAATACAGGCACTCTAATGGTGATGTAGAATGAAAATATAACTATTACTGTTGCAGGAATCCTTTTAGAATCTACTATTTTGACAAAGTTTTTTAAGTTTGGTTGGTTTTGTTTGGTTGGATTTTTTTTGTCTGGAGAGCCCTCCCCCACAAAGAGTCCGCCTGTTTTCCTTTCCCCTGAACCTGCTGTGAAAGTATAATTCCATATGAAGTATAAAGAAGTACAGATTTATTCTAGCAAGCTGCTGTACAATAAGCATTTTGAAGTTCAGTTTTTATCTTTTACTGTATTAGTTTTATTATCCCTGTGACTCCTGAAAAGGAAAAAAAAGTGTTCTGTTAACAAGTAAAAAGTGTTTGGGAGCATGCAAAGTCACTTGGAGTTATACTTTTCTTTGTATCTTAATTGCCAGTCCCACAGCTGTGCTCTGTTAAAGCATCTATTGACTTCAGTGGTGCCAATATTTCAAGGCCAGATTTTCTTAGAAGTGCAACTCAGTACAGGTCAAGGTAGCAACACTGAACATTCAGAGCTTAGTTAACTATTCTGTTGATAGTCTAGCAGGAAAGAATAATTTCCTTTATTATGTGGCTATATGGTCTCTGCAGGACTAGCAGGAGTACAGTACATCTGTATGTGTCTCTGAATACAGAAGCCAAGCAAATGCCCACAGCAAGAATTTACTGGTTTATATTGAGCAGTCACCTTTTCAGATCAAGTAAGAAGCTGAGAAGGAAATACTTTTCTGTGTAACAGTGCAAATATTGCTAGTGTTCAATTATGAATTCTGAAGCCTGTGATCATTTGGTCACCTACTGTTTGAAGCAGCATCGGAAAAATAAATACCTTTGGTTTAGAAGTCAATCTAAAATTTGGAATAAAAATGTCCTTTTCTTGAGGGGTTGACTTTCTGAAGCAAACACAAAAATGTCTGGTGAAAAAACATTCAACATTAAATGCTGTGTTAGAACATCAGATACTTTTGATAAAAGCAAAGGAAAAAGTCTTCCTAAATAAAATGTTTTGCAGCTGTAACATTCAACTATAGTAAAAGAGGCCTCAGTTCTGTATGAATGCCTGGGTAGTCATAGTGGGGCTAATCAATATCTACTTTTAAGGCTGTTCTGTTTAAGAAGACAAATTAAGTAGCTGTAGCAGGATTTGTGTCAGCATTCTGGACCCTGCAGTAAGAAAGGTCTTTTACCCCATTCATCCATTCTGTTGTTTATTGTAGCACTTTTATGTAGTCTCAACAGAAAAAAATTCAGTGGCTTATGTTAAAAATAGTATTTCAAAGGTGAATGACAGATGTCCAGGAAGACTTATATAACGTCCATTTCATTTAAGGGGGCTAGAGCACCTCCCATATGAAGACAGGCTGAGAGAGTTGGGACTGTTCAGCCTGGAGAAGGGAATGATGCATTGTGACCTCGTAGCAGCCTGTCAGTATCTGAAGGGGGCCTGTAAGGATGCTGGAGAGGGACTCTTCGTCAGGGACTGTAGTGACAAAACAAGGGGCAATGGGTTCAAACTTAAACGGGAGATTCAGGTTAGCAATAAGAAAGAAATTTTTTATTGTGAAAGTGTTGAGGCACTGAACAGGCTGCCCAAGGAAGTTGTGAATGCTCCATCCATGGCAGTGTTCAAGGCCAGGCTGGATGGAGTCTTGAGCAATCTAGTCTAGTTGGAGGTGTCTCTGCCCATGGCAGGGGTTTGGAACTAGATGATCTTAAGGTCCTTTCCAACCCTAACTATTCTATAATTCTGTGATTCTATGATTTCCTGATCAGAAAACAAGCTCAGGGAACCCAGTAGATTAGAGAGAGGAAGAGAGAGCACAAAATTACTGAGCAATCCTGTAAGAAAAACCCAACAGAATTATGCCAGTTAATATGAGCTGGAAAAACTGTCCCTTAGTTTTGTAGAAGAAAAGAAATAAATGACAATATAATCATGAAAGCAAACCAGAATTATGTATTCATGTATTTTAAAAATCTCCAGCATAGCACTGCAGCAATATAGATGCAGAAGATTAGGTATTTAAAGTTGTTTTACTTATGGGTAGACAGAAAGTTCATAGAGAAGAAAGACTCAAAAAACCAAACAAACAAAAAAAAAAAGCTAGTCCTTAGAGAACTAAAATAGATGGGCACGCTTTTTATTTCATTTCCAACTAGGTCGTTTTCTTCTTCTTTAAAATTACTTTGCTATAGAAAATTGTTGGGTCTTCTGTGACCCCGATTAAAATTTAATTATATTTATATTTGAGTCTTTCATTTATAGCTATGCTTATTTTAGTATTTGAGTAATGGTTTTATGAATCCATATGTCCTTCTGTATAGTTCCTGCTTTTTTGTGGAAGGGGAATGGCTTTGTTTATGAAGCTGTTTTCTTGAGCAATCATTTGCTGTCAGTCAAAACTAACAATAAAAATTCACAATTGTTCTGATTTTTCATTAGATTTCAGGGAAATCCACAGAGATCATGGCTTAATTTTATTTTCCAGAACAATAAACCAAAGTACTATGTAATTCCCTCATGGTATACAGCCTTACAGTTTTTTCTCGTGCTGCATGTATATAGTTCCCAGTTAGCATTAAATGAAATTATATATGTGTAGCAGAGGACACTGGATCCTTTAATATGGTTTTAGGTGTAAGTATTTTGGAAAGAGAAAAAGGTATCTATCTTTGAAATTGAGAAAGCTGTAATAGTTGTCGTAAGGTGGAAATTGTGAAAATCCTTTTATAACATACCACATTATATTGCCTTTATTTTTTTATTTTTTCTTTTTGGGAACCAGGCTTAGTGCTTAGTCCTGGAAGATTTAAAATTAAGTTCAGATTATATAAGTAAATGAGCTTTGTTTTAAATCTTTTGACGATGAATAGGAAACATTACATGAACAGGAAGTGTAGTGAAAGTTACTGTGTAGTCATTGCTCCTTGATTAACAAGAATGATAAATTGTTAGAACGAAACCCACTAAACCCCTTCCTATACAAACACCCAGTAGGTAAAAGTGTTACTTGTGGAATAGTGAAGAGATGGCCTTACACTTTTAATTCTTGTCTCATTTTCTGAAGCTTCTCTGTTGCATGTTTCGAAGTGCTAAAGGTTCTCAGGAGCTGAAATAAAGGATTCACTGGTAAGGAGACTAGAGAGCAAGGACTGTATTTTGTAGTACTTCTCTATCATAAAGGTCTCCAATAAATTAAAATATAAAAATCAGACTAGCAGAGAAGAAAACATATTAAGTAGTGTACTGGGTTTTGGTAGTTCCTGATTAAGATCTTTTGTGGAATTCAGTCTTTAATGTGGCTCTTTAGTGCAGGAATCTTTTTTCCTGTGTTAAAACAGGTATGAATCATAAATATGCCATTTTTAATTTAGCAGGTCGTGATCATGTCAGTATATCTATACAACTTAGTAGCTGTTGACATGAATCTGACCCCTTTTGCAGTAATTCATTGAGATAAGTGCCTTTTCTAGGTTGGTGTCTGAAGCATGCAGTTTTGGAGGGGACAGCTGGGCTTTTGATAAACACCACCAATGAAATGGAAGGAACAACTCACTCTAGCTTGATGTTTGTGCTATGATAAAGAACAAGGTGGTTCAGTTAGCTACATAGGGACAGGAGGGAAGAATTCAAAAAAGAAAGCCTGATGACTTTTGGTCAAGCTGTCAAGAAATTCTTGTGTTGTTCAGTTTGCAGCTTTCTGAAATGGACACTAATGGGCATTCACATTGTCAGATATGCCAGCAAGGATTTGCTTTCTGCCAGCAATGGCAGTGATGTTTGGACAGAGTTTGAGATAATTGTAGGCATGTATATAATTATGTAAGTGAGGCATATTTGTCTTATGCCACAGCAGAGCCAAGAAAGTATTTAGCAGGCAGTAAGTGAAAGAAGGTCAAGGAGAGGGTTATTGTTCTTGACATTGATGTGTTCTTCGTTGTACAGCATAGCAGAAGCTGAGCTCTGAAGAGCATGCACTGAGCAATACTTGTCCTTTTTTGATTGCTCGGATTTGACATTTAACATTATTTCCCTTTATTACTCACTGTCCACATACAATCTAGTTTAATGTATTTCAGAGTCTCTGAATATTTCAGTTCTCTAGTTTTTCCCCAGAAAACAGTTTGTTTGCTTTCTCTCAAGCATTCTTCAGATTTTTGGACTAGTTCTAAACCAAACTAGTTATCTAGCTAAATTAGGCTAGTTATGTAATGATGGGAGTTGAGGATTCAGAGTAGTATTTGACTCTGTTTCCAACTTTATCTTTGTTTTTCAGGACATAATATTGCTTCTTAATGTCAGGTATGTCAGAGAAGTGAATTATGAGTGGGTTTTGCACAGTGTTTTGTGATACTCTGATACAATATTCTGTATTATAAATTGCATCATCAGACCAAAGCAGTAGTACATACAAAGTATTTCACAAAGGATAAGCAGCTAGCAGAAAGTTTCTATGAAGTTATTAGAATCTGTGAAAGATAAAATACATAGTGTAATACCATATCTAATAGTTGCACAGAAAATTACTTTGAAGATTTTCATTTGATCACGGTCTGTTTAAATTCTGTATGCTATTTAACTAATGATAGAGCTATGTTACAAGCACATTATTAATATTGCAATGCAATCACTGTTATAAAACTGTATTTGGGTCTCAGAAAAATCTGCAAAAGTAATTTTATTCATACCGATCTAAGACTGCAGGCCTGTAACTCTCAACACACATGGATGCTGAGTTCAACCAAAATACAAATTTCTTGAAGATAGGAGGTGAACCACAGGTTTATGTTCACAGAATTCAGCAAGTACATTGCTATCTATAGGCAATTTAGTCACAGTGTCCTTGTTGAGTGCTTATTTATTTAGTAATGGTGAGTTTGAAGCGTATCTTCTTTTCTGTTAAAGAGATAAGGGTAAGGAAATGCAGAAATAAGGCTTGATTCATGAACACAAATAAGGCTTAAGTTGTGTCTGAACACTGGATTCTGAAATTAGTAAACAGTCTAGATACTACAGTTTGAATTACTGAAATAAGATACTACCCTTCACATAATGGTGGAGTAAACAAGCAGTTTGTGTGGATGCGAATCACAGCTATTTAGTACCTATACTCAAAAAGATTTTCCAGATATGGATACATTTATCGTATTGCAGATTACAGAGTAGTTGACCAAAAGAATGATACTAGGAAACTGCAAAACCCCCAAAACTACTGAATTTAATGATGATATCCTCATGCCTATTTGCAACATTACCGTTCCACATAAAGACAACATCTGAAGTGCCTAATGGTCACTTGAAGTCACCATAAAATTATTGGAAAGTTGATGATATTAATAAAACATCAAAATTTGTAAATTCTTTGGTAGAAATGGCTGAAAGTCACTAAAGTACATTTAGATATTTTCCTAAGTGATACATTCCAGTACACAAAGGACCTGCTTCAGGAAGATTCTACAGCTTGCAACTGTTAAATAATTTTTATTTAAAAATTGTTATAATTAGAATAATTAGAAAATACTTAGTTTAGTAACTCTTGTATCTGTTGTTATGAAAGACTGCATTTCATACCTTGATAGCTATCACTCAGCATTAGAATGACTTGCCATTATTATTGTTCATTCCCAAAAAAAGTGAAATGTGGTAAGACTCAAGAGCACAGGAAAAAATGTACAGGATTGTGGAAACTATTTCCAGGAAAGAAAAAAATGGTTTGGAAATGACAATTTCAGGTGAAAGTATAAATGTATTTAGAACTTATTTGTGCTTCATTAGGAAAAAAGTATTTCCTTCAACTAAGCCTTGACCTGCAAAAAACTGACTGGGAATGGAGGAAGTGAGAAACTCAAAATTCTTATGTGTGTATTTAAGATTTGTAAGGTGTTATGTTTGAGTGATTAACAGTTTTAGGGCATAAAGTTAAAACCCTGTCTGTATCAAAATGCGAAAACAGCATTATCTGAAATAAAATTGTACTTCTGTAGGAAGACTGTGGTGTCTCAGTGAATAATATCAGATGTTGTTTCATGATGAGCCATCTGGAACAACAGAGTCCAAAATGTCAGATATCAGAGTAAAGCCAAATATCATGTAATTTCTGTACTAACCACTTTGTCAAGTTGCACTTACTGTCACCAAAGGATTAGATTTCGTAAGACAACAGCGAGAGTTGTAGCATTTAGTCAGTTGTTTTTTTCATACAAGTGAACTGAAGGACACACAATGTCACACTCAGGAAAGTATCATTTTTGTCTGATTTTTACAGAATTTTGTGCTACTAAATTCTGAAGACCTGTTCTCACACATTGTGAAAATAATTTCCATTATGTTCTGACTTCTATACATCATATTTTACTAAAATACAGCAATTACGTATTTATGTTTCAGTCGTAACTTTAATTAATCAATGACTTCACAATTAAGATTATACATTTGAAATTTATTTTTTACTGTAAGTAAAGTTTTTAATATTATAAGGGGAATGAGGTTCTATTTTCAAACTGTAAACCAGCAAATTCTGCTGTTTGCAAAGAAAATCTTAAAACCACAGAATTATTTGTTCTCATCTGCAGTGTCTCAAATGTCTTAGCTTAGATAGCAGAGATAATATTTAATTTTCAGTTGTACTAACAAACTCCTTAGGTAAGCAGTCAAGAAAAAAAAAGGTATATAGGCTCAAAAAAAAAAGCAGACGCTAATACTTGAGGTTGCCAAATTCAGAAAAAGACATTTGAAATTGTTAATCCTGGAGAGTTGTAAAACTAATCTGTTAGCTCACACCTGGGTTAAAGATATTTAAGAGCAGACTGTCCTGTCAAACCTATGGAATGATTTAGTTTTGGGTTAAGAATACTAAATTTCACATGCCTGAAATTTTTTACAGCCAATGAAGTTGTGTAAACGTAAGTAAATACGCTTGGCCTTTAGCTACTGTTCCAAAAGGCTCTACCACCTAACTTCAGTAGTTCTGTTCATTTATTCTTGAAAAGAGACATGCATAAAGGGTATCATTGAATCTTTCTCTAGAATTACCATATTACCATACTGGTTGAAGACAATAAAATGGCATAGTGTGTGATAGCAACATGACATAGTAATTAGTACAGTCACAGTATATAATCTTTGTATTTCAGTCACACAATTTGTATTCTGCAGGGCAGTTCCGAAACATTCTGTCTTTTAAACAAAATTTCAGTTTCCTCTTGAAATACATTTTTAATTAATGTTCTGTTAAAAAAAAATAAAAAATGCTGTGGATAGATTTTGTTACAGCAGGAAATACCAATGAAGAGCTGTTCTCCACTTACCTATTTTCTTTTTGTGTTTACTTTCCTTAGCTGTGGGCCTTGCTGCCTGTCCTGAACCAGTAATTCCTAGCAATGGGATCAAATCAGGAGATAGATACATGGTGAATGATGTTTTGTCATTTCAGTGTGAGCCAGGATATACATTACAGGTATTTCTTTCTTTCTTTTTTCTTAGATTAATACACTGTGGAATACTCGCAACAAAATGACCCACTCAAATCCCATTTTAACAAAGAGTCTGTAGTATGCCCATAGAGATGATTTAAGTAGAGCCTATGTGAGTACTCTCACATTATAAAGCTATGAACATGTAGCATATCTGGCCCTCAGTAAACCTCTGCTGGCAGATCTTGTCTTAGATTAACAGGCCATCAAACAGTAAAAAAACTTCAAAACGGACAAGGAAATAGCATGGTTAAAATGTTTTCTCTATAAAAATTCTCTAGTAGATTGTACTACTGTGCTCATTGAAACTGTACTGAGATTTCCCCATTTTTAAAAGTGGTTCCTCTAGGTGAAATTTTAACCACAGTTACATCATTGGATTTCATATTCTGCTCAGAAATTGTAGAATTTAGTTTCAGTACCAATTTTTATTCATGCTAAATCTACTCTTAAAAATCTTTTAAGGAAAGAAATAATCCAAATTAGTTTACAGATTGGGAATGTTCACTATTCACACTGGTTTAGTTTCCAATGGTAGACATGTTACCAAACTGCTGTTTGTAAATGTCACAGCACTGTGTATGTCTAAGATTTGAAGACTTTTTTCTTCCCTTATTTGTTCCTCTACTTTATTTATATATATTCCATCACCAGTGTGATACATTGAAAACACCAGAGTTCAGAATTTTGGGTGGTAATAGGTCCTACACAAGGCAATGTAAAAGCATATCACTGTATCAGGGAAAGCAAAGCATCACAACTTCTGCTCCAGAGAAGGAGAAAGACATGGCTCCTTATCTGATGTCTGCCAATTAATTCAGTGCTCCTTCAGCATGTATAAGCTTATTCTTTGATCTCAGTATTCCTTACCAGTCTCCTAAAATTCAGACAGGATTCAGACTGAACATCTTAGCTCTAGGCTGGCTGTGGAAACACCTGCACTTGAAAAATCTCTCCAGGTAAACAGCAATATGCTTACCTTTTCAGTCATATATTACGGATACAGGGTCAAGTCTTTTACCTAATCCATGCTCCTTAATAGCATGGATGTTAACAGCCTCTATCAGAACCATCCCATATCTATAGCAGAAAAGATTCTGTCATGCAAGTATCCTACTAATTGGAAAAAGATTCAATACTCCTGCACAATGAAGCCTACTCTACCCATCTCAGCACTTACTGGTCATTTAATGGTTCGAGGATTGTTTACAAGCCAGCTGATGGTTCTTAGATACACTGTTTAAATTTCTCTATTTCCAGCAAAGGAAAAATCTAATATTATTCTGAAAATACCTACTAGTTTAAAACCTCTATACTTAGGACTTTATTAACTTTATTCTTCCTATTCCACTTTTCCCTTATAGTATCTTTTGTAGGTAGCAGTCATGTCGGTAAGAAAATGAGATATTTGATATCATACTTCTATTACACAGTCCCTTTGAAAGCACTGTCATCAAACCTTGAATCCCAATTAGATTCTAACTTCATTTAAAGACTGCTAATGAACAATTAATCTTTTTCTATTTCAAAGTAACATTAAATTAAGTATATGATGAAATGCCATATTCTACTGATACATCTATGTTTCTATAGCCAAGACAAAGGTATGTGAACTGAAATTTGATCTCAGTGCTATTAATTTGTTAGAATGGAGTGCTGGCATACTTTTGGCCTAGGTGAAGTATCACAGTTCAATAATAATCACAAGCCAGAGAGTATTCCTGATAGACACTTCATTTTAGAGGTGAATTCAGAAGAAAAAAGCTGACTTAATGTTCTGGATCTATTTTTACTTAGGAAAAAAAAAAACCCACACAGAAATGTGAGTTCATAAATACAGTATTAGTATAAAACAGTTGTGTGTTTGTGAGGAAGATAACTGCATATGAACGATGTTAATTCTTAACTTCTATACATCATGTATATCACTGTGGCAAACCGCACAACATCTTTTATCTATATAAAGGTCTTTTCTGTTGTCCTTGAATATGAGTAACTGCACTTTTCTTTTTATACTTACAGGGATTCTATAATGAAATATTTTCTTAAAATTTCATAGCATATTGTTTCTTAACTGTATTTCTTACCTCTCTTTCCACACATACACAAATTGAATCTTAACCATGCAATTCGACATAAAAAAGCAATTTTCATGATCTTGTCTAAAATGTAAAACAAAAACCCTTTAATATCCAAATTCAATAGAGTTTGAATATTTTAAAAACATTAATGAGGATTTCTATGCTACATGAACTCTGCTGTAAGAAAGTGCATACACATGTATGTATAGTGTGTTACTCAGACAGGACGAGTAAAATGGCTCCACATTAAAAAAGAAATAATGAAAATGAGGTTCTGTGAGGCACAGTATGTTTGCTTTTCAACAAGTATAGATCAGCATAACTTTTTCAGTCTAGCTGTGAATTTACCCTCAGTCTTCAGAGAACATATTCACAGCTAGCAATAACAATCAGGTGTGGATTAGTTTATAATTGAGACTTACCAGAAAAGTCATAGAGCTCAAACTACTACCTGGAGATGCATAAGAAAGGTAATTGCTAGCTGTAGGATTAAGTGTCTCCCGCCAGGAGGGGACTTTAAAAGACTGAAATCAGAGTGTGCTCTTGTTGGGAAGAGGCTTGAAGCCAGAGGAATCAGTTCATTTTATTTTTCAAAAGATTTTTATAGGCCATTTTACTTTTTCCCTAACTGTGGTAGTTAAATTATGGCTTCCCCCTGACTCATATCAGAACATGCAATCATAGAAGACTAGGAAGAGAGAATAAAATAAATCAGGGAATATTGCATTAAGTAAATTATTCAAAATCTCATTTGTTTTGCAAGTAACTAAGACGATACAATAAGTGCATGAACCTTTTTCCGTTAAAAGAAAAAGGCTTCTTTTTAGAAGTCTTTTATTGAATTGTTATAAATTTGTAGTATTTTTATAAGAAAAGGACTAATTTAATTTTTCATAGTTTTAATGAAAGCTGATTTTTTTTCCCTTCCAGGCCATTTTTGGAAATGTTTCAGTTTGTCTTTCGGAAGCTGATTGCCTAAATATGCTTAACTAAATGTTTAATTTAAGTAGTTTATTCCATACAACTCCATATAGTTCCATATGAACTTTATTCAAGGTAGCATGTGTAGTTTCTTATTTGTAAACATACCGAATGATGTGGAAGTCATTTAATTAAGTGGATTTGCCTTTACTGCAGTTTACTTCTTCTATTATTTTTATTTTTAAATGAGAATTTGATTGCTATGGACAAGTAATATTTAAATAATTCTCATATTATATTAATAAAATGTGCTACCATACTAAATACTAGGTTCTTAATACACTTGATAAAAATAAACGAGAGGTTAAATGGCATATCGAAGTTTGTATATCCAAATGATTGAAACAGGAACTAAACCTTGCCCTCAGTCCCATGTCTCAATCTTTGTATCGGTGTCTTTCACTCCTGACAGTTTATTCAGTTTTACCATTCCAACAGCAGAACGCATAACCTGAGCTCCTCAGAGGACAGAGTTGATTAAAAAAAAGACTTGTTTGTGCTAATGTTAAGTTGTTATCTGCTTGAACTGTATCAGTGCAAGGAAAGCTGGGAGCATTTTGCAGTTGGTCCTGGGCAGCCACCCTAGAGTATGCAGGAATAGACTTTACAGGTTACAGCCATGTCATTTTTCTTGTTCTTGTGATGTTTCTTAAAAATAGGCAGAGTAAATGAAACATGACAGCTTAATAAGGAGGTTCTTGTACTTTTATAGCTGTCTGCCCAGATGTTGCATCTGTGCAGTGAGTCATGTTGTGAGGCCATGTGAGAGTTCAAGGCCTGCTGGTAACTGTGGATGACTGTCTTGGCATTGTCCACATCCATACCCTCTGTAGCAAGCAGATGGGTAACAAATTCCTCTCTGTGCCTGTACTGTTCACTCAGAGCAATAGCTGATTCACTCCAGATTGCAGTCTGAAAATGAACTGGAGTGAGAACCCTGGAATTGAAATAGGGAGTGAACCAGTTTGACCATATGAATGCACATTGTCAGCTGCTTCTGTCTTGTAACCAGACTTAAATTTAGTCTAAAACATAGAGAGCTTTTCAGGTTACCAAAGGAAGAGTGGTTTAAAACATTTATCCAGTAGAAAAATAAGAAGTATTTGAAAATAGAATTTAACAATTTCAAAAAAGTAATTATAATGCAGTTGGTTGATAAAAGAAAAGACAAAGATAAGACAATCCAGGAGGTTCTCTGTAGTTCTGACTTCATGAGAAGTCCCATAATGAGTATCTGTAATCTCATATTTTGCACTTTCCAAACAGGGTCGTTCTCATATTTCTTGTATGCCAGGAACAGTTCGACGCTGGAACTATCCATCTCCTCTCTGCATTGGTATGGATACATACTTTTTTCAGTGTGTTCTGACCATCACTCAGAAGAAACTCCTGACTTTGTCATGCCTATTGTTCCTTCACTTAATTCTGTTTAATTCAAAACTTTTTTGAGTTTCCATTTCTATCTGTGAAATACAGATTATTTTTTTTTCTTTATATATAGTGTATATGCTATTTAAAAAGAATATTATGAGAGGGGAAAGGAGAAAATCCGGATGTTTACCATTGTTTAGCTTGTCCCGAATACTCTGCTTTGATTCAAACTTAATCTTCAGACGGGAGAGGAAGTTAACGCATTCCTATTGCAGCATGCTCAGCTTAGAGAAACTTCTCAAGAACAAGCCAGGTCATGCAGGGAGTCTAGGAAACTTCTCAAAGAAGCAGGCAATCTATATGCAGCAGAAAGGAGCTCTGAAGTCAAACCTTCAGGGCTTATGGAATGAAAGAGCTATAGGGAACCAGAGAAGGCTGGCTCTTTTCATCTGAGAAGGCTGTTAAACAATGCTGAGTAAAAAGGCAAAGCTATAAAATATTTCCCCTTCAAGGCCACCAAGACCTTACCCAGCAGATGTGAGTTTTCCCTATGTAGAAAATAATCTTGTTCTGTTGCATTGTTTCGTGATTAAATAAAGTTTAAGAGAGTTAAGTTTCTGGTGTCGTTTTGCATGCGCAAGAAAAAGCAGGAATAGAGGAGAAAGAAGCACAGGTCCATCATAACATTCTGTCACTTCAGCTTTGAAATACGTTCTTCAGTGAATGCTTTTAACTTCTATATTCAGTCAGCAAAAGCTGTGCCTTTTAGCTTCATATCTAAGAGGAATTTAAAAGATTGGAATGATATTGAGCAATTTAATGTCAAATGGTTTTAAAGATTCCTTGTCAAGTTGGGCCTATATATTATATTGTTCTGTCAACTTCCACAGAAGCAGTCACTTCAGATTAATATGAAAGCAGTGCAGTTGCTTCAAATCAGTTTTAGAAATGGAAAATCTATTCAGGAAGGTGTATTTTGGGATTTGGCTGGCTAATGGGGGTTGGGCTAATCTTATGTTTTACCTTTTCTATTAAGTATAGTTCCTATTCAAAAACTATGCTTTGGGGTTTTTTGTGGGTTTTTTTGTTTGGTTTGTTGGCTTGGTTTTTGTTTTGGGGATGGGTTGGGTTTTTTGTTTTGGTTTGGTTTGTTTGTGGGGTTTTTTTGTTTGGTTGGGGTTTTTTTCCCCCCTTCAGTTCATGAAATGTTGCTATCCTGGAAGCTAAAATACCCCCAAAAAAAAGAAACAAGTCCCTAAAACATGATCCCACCGCCACCACTCCTACCCTTTAAAATGTTGATTTTTCTAGAAATGCAAACCAAAGTCTGTTGGTTTCACTAAATAATATGTTTAGCATTGAAGGGAGATAGATATATCTGAGAAGTTCGATACTGATTTCTTAGCTTTTTAGTGCAGTTCTTCCTATTTTGATTCAATTTCTTGTGTGGTCTAACCAGTATATTATTTTAATTTTTTTCAGTACAATTATCATAATGTACAGTAAAAAGTAGTGCAATTCTGTTACAAGATCATACATCCCTTTAATACTTGGCATGAAAACTCGTAGTCTTTAACATAATGATTCCTCAAATAATAAATATACATTACAAGTTTTTAATTTGATTTCTTGATGTTCCTCCTAGTGAAAGTGTCCTAGTGAAAGTGTAACTAGTGTTGTCCTAATGAAAGTGTAAATTCTGCCACTTCTTTACAAGTTGCTTCACCTACTTATAATTCAGCTCTATGTCATCCTAAATGATGCAAATGGCTTTTCAGTTTTCAAACACATGAATTGGCTGAAGAAAAGCATACAGATAGTAAGCAAATTATTATTTTTTTTTTCTCCTTCATGAGGAATGTCTTGACTGGGAAAAGTTCACTGCTCTGGGGGCATGGGGAGAAACTGGAAAATCTTTTATTCAATTAATTGTATATTAAGAAATAATATTATTAAAAGATACATGACTTTCTTTTTATTTTTAATAGCTAAATGTGGTGGAACACTTACAAGCATGGGTGGTGTGATCCTGAGCCCAGGTTTTCCTGGAAATTACCCTAGTAACTTAGATTGTACATGGAAAATTTTATTGCCTATTGGATATGGTAAGTAAACTTTCTTTTAAGGAACAATTATTTATAATCACGAGATTTAAATATATATAAGAATATTTTAAATTCCACCATGAAATAGGTTTTATCCAGTGAATTGGTTTAAAAATGGTTGGCAATTTAAAAATACATCTTTGTCAAAGCGGCTTGTTATTTGTAAAACTCAGCCTGACTCAGAAACTGATTTCAGAGCAAACGAAATCTGCTGCTTGAAGACATCAGATGAAGCAGATAATGTAACTTCTAAATTAATTATTGGTCTTCTGTTTAATGTCTTTTCATTGTTCCCCAAGTGACTTTCAAATAGTATTTCTTATGTTCTATGAAGATGGACAGAACCTTATTTCTAGCACTGTGAATTTGATTGAAAACATTCTAAAAATGTATTTCAAATCCCAGGTAACAGTTGCCAACTTAGAAATTTTCTAGGTTTGCCTTAAGAATATTGTCATACAGAAAATACCTTTACAATAAATAATAATTAGGTTGATAAGGTAGTCATGGATGATAAGGGATCTGTTAGTGCAAGTATAAAACACAGTCTTCTATCATTATTGGAAATAAGAAAGGAATAAGTTTTCTTGTGAAACATTATGCCCTATACTGTGAATTCAATGCTAGTAGTCAAATAAGAACTTCAATTTTAAAAGCTCATTATGAAATTCACTATACCCATCTCTGGAAATTAATTTATTTTCAATGCTTTCCATTTGCATTCATAAGAGGAATTTTCGTAGTAAGATGTACTACTATATATAGAGAGGGTATTTTACTAAATTAATCTGTAGAAATACTGTGCTGCTGTTCGTAAGAGCACCCTTTATCAGTGTGTGCCTGATCCACTGTAGTTATAAACAGCCTTGGTAGCCTTAGTTATCCTTACATCCTTAGGACCATCATAGACAGGACATCGTTGGCTAATATTGGCATTCTACAGCTACATTTGCAGAAAATGTAAATTACAAGCTACTGTTCTAGAGCGATGTCATCCTAATGAGGTTGCTACAATACTGCCTTTTAAAAACAGTCCTTCTTATTTCTCAGAGTTGCTCTTTTCCTTTCAGCTTTTCTATGTAGATGGTGTTTCATGAACTAGTTACACAAGAGTGTCTTGTATCCTATTATTATCCCTCTCACTTCTCAGAAAGACTGGTAATCCTACAAATAAAAAAGATTATGGTTATGTCTGGCAAGGTATAAGGCATTTATACCATCGATCTATCATTGCTTTCAAAAATAGTAGAAGAGGGTATTTTTTGTAGTGAAGTTGCTACAGGGATCTTTTTCCCAAAGTGTTTGTCAAATAATCCACAGATAGCAGGTTCAAAAAGTTTGATTTTTGTGATTTTTCACAGAGAACTTCCACTGCAAAATCTTGGATACTGTTTTAATCACAAGTATAAGCTTGTCTACCTAAGAGTTGTTTGTCTACATTCATTCTGTTGTATCAAAATAAATACATGAAGTCACTGAAAAATAGAAAATATTTCCAAAATTGAATAATGCTCCAGGATTTGTTTTGAAAGGATTTTAATGTGATGCTGAATGAGTTAGAGATTAGCACTGTGCACAAAAACTGATCAAGAGGACACTCATGAACATGTAATGATTGATTCAAATTCCATTGAAATAATTAACCTCACAGTGACTTCATCTCTCAGTAAGTATTCCTTTATTCCCATCCATTTATTCAAACTTTGCAACTGAATGAAGCCCATGATATTACTGACTTCGTGCATGCACACAGGTGTGCTTAAACAAAGTCCAACAATAAAATTGTGGGAGCTAAATGTGTCCCAGAGTCAAGTGCTCTCTTCATTACATGAAAATTTACTGATCATGTAAAAAAAGACGTTACTAAAATCCAAACATTGTAAATAGGTGGAAAGTACGTATTTTCAAGTGAGTTGTTGTGATTTTGCAATGATTTCAGGTAGCAGTTAATTGATTAGCATTTGTAAAAAAGATTAACTCAGCTTGGAATTCTCATTATTTAGAGTCTGTTCAAGTGAGAAAGGAAATCCTGTTGAGATTGGAGCAGGAAGTAGTATAATTATAGTTTGACTGGATAATGATTTATTTTCTGTAGCACTCAGTTTTATTCTGTATAATTTTATGTAAGAAGTTATTTAGTGTAGAAGACTTCTTCTTTGACATATCAAATTGACAATTGTGAGTTAAGGGTTGAGTGACACCTACAGTGTGTCCTCTAACTGAAATTAACATCTTTGAAAAACCTTTAGGTAAAATACATGTTTATGTTCGTGTTTAAAATGTGGTTATTTTAGACAGTTAATTTTTTTTTAAGTAACTGGTAAACCTAGTTTTTACTTTCAAAATACAGATTTTTCTATACTGAATATTTACAGCTAGTTGTATAAATTCCCTCTCAGTAGTTAAATAAGGATGATTCGATTTTAAAGATATTCTGTGGCTCAGAAGAGGCTATTTCAGAACAGTAGGCTACTTTTACTTAAATAGCTAAACACTGACTTGGGATCTATATAGATACATCAGTTACAATGATCTGCTTGTCACTTTGGTAACTTAAGTATAATATCAAGTGGCTGCTCAATTCTTTAGAATTCTATGCTGCTGACATCCAGCATAATCACTAAATGCTGATACTAGTAGGAATCACTAAACGCTGATACTGAAGTCAAGATATTTCCAAGCTGCTTGGTGTCCTACTTTGTCTTAAATTCTGAGAGCGTTGTAAAATTAGTGACTTCACTCAAGTCAGACTAACCGTGTCAGACATCATTCAAGAGATGGCTGTTATTGAGACTTCAATATGTTCTGTGTATGTCTCTCTTATTTATAGCGTTGGAATAAGTTTTCTGATACAGCATCTGAAATACTTGTTTTTATATCTTGCACTCTGCGTAGGTCAGAGAAGGAGCTAGAGCTATTCCCTATTCTTACGAGTGCTCTATAACAACCACTTTATCTGGTAACTTATTTAGTTTCTCCTGTAAAGGGAAAAAAAATATAAAAAAGTCTCTTATACACAAGGGATATCAAACCACAGAGGCAAAGAAATGAGCTGTAGAGCAATACTGAGTTAATGACTTACCCTGGTGATTAATCTATAAAGTACTCTCCTGGAATGACAAATATGTTCTACTGCTAAGTAAGAATGTCAAGCAGAGAGTTAATTCATTGAATATTTTACACTGCTTTGTTAGCTCATTCAGTAATTCTGTTTGATTCCATTCCGGCTAATTCATTACAGTCTAGCAGAGTGAGGTTAGGCCCAAGCAGTGCAGCTGAAAGTTACGTGGTACTTCTTGGCTTTCAAACCAGGGGTTTGCTCCCCATCTCTCTTTTGATATTATATACACACATAGTTTGAGAAGCCTGAATTCCAAGTCCTTAGTCCACATGAAGCAGTGCCAGAACTTAAAAATGGCTCTTCTCATGGAATTATGCTTACACTTCCAACTGTTCAACATTTTGGGAGTCATCTCTCTCCCTTTCATTTTGTGAGAAGTGCGTGGTTCAGCCACCTGACTTCCAGAGAGGGATTGTGGTCAATGATCCTGAGTAAGTACCTGTCACCATCCTGGAGTTCAGTGCATTTTGTAGAGCTGCATACAGAGTAGAATGGCTCTAAAGACACAGTGGTCCAAGCTGGAGGGAAGAGGAGGCACATATGGGTGACATGGGTCAGGAAAAACAAGGTGAAGTAAATAGCTGAAGCTAGGTAAGTGAACTTCTGCCTCTGAAAAGTCACTCTGTTAGTAATCTTCCTGGGTACTGAGCTGATCCTGAGCTTTTGTTAGAGACCTGGCCCAGCAGCAGTAAAGTTCTTGAGTCCTGACCATGCCATGACACAGCAGGGTTTGTGATGTGCCCGTCCCTTGCGTGTTTCTGTTGGCTGGTTTACGAGCCTGGTAAATATCTGGTTGTTGACTTTGTGACTTCCTTTAGTTGGTCCCTTCATGGGTGGTTATGATATTTATTGGGTACCAAAAAATTAGAAGCTCCAACTCTTGCAATACTTGGTGGCTATTTCATTAATTTCGGCATTGCACTCTGAATGGTGGCTAAAATATAAATACAATGCCTATAACTTTTTTTTTTTAATTTGCATGCCATAGCATTAAGCAGCATAGAATCATAGAATTGTTTGCACTGGAAGGGACCTTAAAGGATCTTGATTTTTCTTTCCTTCTCAATGCTGCAGGTGCACACATTCAATTTCTGAATTTCTCTACTGAAGCAAATCATGATTTCCTTGAAATACAGAATGGGCCTTACCACACCAGCTCTATGATTGGACAGTTCAGTGGAATGGAACTTCCATCACCCTTGCTAAGTACTACTCATGAAACACTTGTACATTTTTACAGTGACCACTCAGAAAACAGGCAAGGATTTAAGCTGACATACCAAGGTAAGTAGGAACTAGCACATGAACTTTGCAGTTAAATAGGAAACACAAAAAGTTAATTTTAAAAAAAAATATTATACATATAAGAAATAGCATTTTTAAATCTGTTTAATCCATATGTTGAAGTTTTTTTCTACTGAAATTGTGTTGAATTGGTATCTTTATTTTACTGGTGTAAAAACCTGAAGCCAAAGTGATGTCATTTGCCAAAGGTCACAAAGTTGCTAGCCCTTTCCGTCCCTTTAATGTGTACTGTTACTGGATAATATTGCTAATATTCACTGTGTTGTTTATTTGTTCTTCTCCTTTCTTCCCTGTTAGAAATCTTGTTTTCCTTTCAGTCAGTCATATGTCAAATCAATCTTAGCCTGTTTTGCTTGGATGACGGGACTTAGACTCTTGTGATGTCTGACTGTCATGCTTCTTGATATACTTCTGTTATGCAATTTTGAAAGCATTGGCAAATTTCTGTCAAATTTCACAGTTCCTAGAAATATATGCAAAGCAATATTAGTAACATGGATGAGAGAGTCCTGAAATGGTGCCCTATTGAGAGGAAAGATGCAGCATTACTCCATAGATACTGATGCAGTTTGGATTGTTGGCTACCCCATTGGAATATTCCTTGTCACAACTTGTTTAAATACACATTGTGTCTTGCCTAACTGTTATTCATGGGATATAGATGTGTGAGGGAGATAAAATATGAGAAGCTGGCATGGGTGTCACATGCAAAATCTTCTATGCGAAAAAGGAAGCATATCATATATAGAAAGCTAAGAATTTCTTTTTAGTCAGTAAAGTTGTCCAAGTCAGTTAACACAGAATAAAATCATAAGCAATGTAGTTGAAATTGTTATGCAAAACCTTCCTCATTTCTTTTGTATTTTGTTCACCTTCCTGGTGCTTTTATAGAGCCTAACACAACAGCTTCTGTCTTTTTCTTGTAGAACTGGAGAGGCAGCCATCAGTATCCCAAGCTCTTTGCTGCGAAACATATGATGTTCATGATAGCCATTTCTTACTTTTAAGTCTTGAGTTCCACTTCAGTTACTTATTTTTATATTTTTCTTACCACAGTCTGCTTCTTACAGGTTCGCAGCCAAACTTTGAAAGTTGTTTTCCTCAGCTTCAATTACTATAAAGGTCTATTGATAGTTAAGCAGTGACTGCCAGGGCTTGACAGGCCTTTAGCATAGATGGTATTTGCAGAGCATAACCTGAAACATGTTAGGTAGTAGTCACTTGGCTACTAGCAATTGTTAAAATTGGCTAAAACCAGCTCAGGACAAGGTAAGTCCAGACATATCTGAGATCTGAAGCCAACTATATCCTGGGCTGCATCAAAAGAAGCATGACCAGCAGGTCAAAGGAGGTGATCCTGCCCCTATACTCTGCTCTTGTGAGACCTCACTTGGAGTATTGTGTGCAGTTCTGGTGTCCTCAACATAAAAAGGATATGGAGCTGTTGGAGCAAGTCCAGAGGAGGGCCACAAGGATGATAAGAGGACTGGAGCACCTCCCGTATGTAGACAGGCTGAGAAAGTTGGGGCTGTTCAGCCAGGAGAAGAGAAGGCTGCGTGGAGACCACATAGCAACCTTCCAGTATCTGAAGGGGGCCTATAAGGATGTTGGGGAGGGACTCTTCATTAGGGACTCTAGTGGTAGGACAAGGG